TAATAAGGATTAAATATCGTGATATCGGCATACAAACGTAATAATATAAAGCGCGACAAAACGAATTGAAACGTATATTTTACCGTAATTTTCTAACTTACCTAAACCAAGTTATTTCAACTTAACGCTCATTTATTTTATACAAGAAATTAAGCCTTTATAAACCGCTATGTTTTATATTATACAACTATGTTATAAATATTCGGATTATTAATCAAATAAGACGGTTAAAAAGCTCTACCATTGTTTAATTTATGAGAATTTTCTGAACCTTACCAAGCTAAAGCCCACAGGTAGACGTAAAGGTGCATATGTAGTGATTCTGGTGATGACTGCGGTCCGAGTGGTGGGGGTGGCCGAGTGGTGGGTGGGCCATGGTAGCACGTATGTATTGAGCAACACCAGTGACGGTGCCACGATTTGGGGCGTTGCTACGGTCAGTCACGGGGTGGCTGCAGGCCACTGACCTAGATATTCCGTCTCTCATTGCCATCCGGATAATGATTTAGACAAGAAGCCGACGCGATGGAGTCTTATAGGTTGGTTTTGGCTTGAGGCGGGTTAACCGGGGACTTGGCTGACATTAAAGGGGTAGCGGCTATGTGGAGCCATTCGACCGCCAGCTTTGTGAAAACAAGTATTAACATCTCAGGGAAATCGCATGAAGGCGGGCACGTACGGTCTTTCTCGTCATCTGTATAGACCGAACGCTGGCTCGGATGTTGATGATAATGACTTGGGAGTCTGGCTTCAATGCATAAGCAAGGTCAGTTGGGTGATTGGTGGGGCTTTATTCTCTGCGTGTGTTAAACTGGGTGGACAAAAGTCTCCGTACACCCCACCACTAATCTCCGAACATCAAAACAACGCGTCAACCACCCTTCAACTTCAACACTCTCTCAACAACGCAAATCACGGTGGTATTTCGATCTTTTGAAGATAAATTGAGCGGCAGTCGCGCGCCAAACGGGGAGTTCACTCGCGATGCTCGCTCTGCAATTGTGGCGGCGAGAGTGCTGGGGCAGAGCCGCAAGGAGGTTGCCGACGCGTTCAAAACCACGCGCCCTGCCACTATCACTGAGACTATCAAGCGCTTTGAGACCACCACCACCACGAAATCTGCTCCCAGAAGTGGTCGACCAAGTGCTCTGAACACTCGCAAACGCGCCCGTGTTATTCAGGCAGCGAGAGACTTCCCCAGGGCCTCGTGACAAAAGATCCGAAATAAGGCCCGCGTTTTCTGCTGCGCGAAGATTACCAAGTGCCTCTGCCACGCCAGAGGGCTTTAGAAGTGGCGAGCAGCCAAGAGGATCGAGCTGAAAGAGGAGACGGCTCGGATAAGGCGCGAATTTGCCGAATATTTCGGCCATCCGGCGTGTATTCTCGAGCTCTTAAGGGCACTGTTCTCTGACAAGTATATAGTCCAAAATAAATCGGATAATCCAGGCGATTGGGTCATTCGATACTCGTCAGAGCAGTACCGTTACGATCTCGTGAACCCCACGAGTCACAGAAAGCCTCGTATTTCGATAATGGTGTGGTCTCAGATCTGGCTACGCGATAGAGAAGGAGGACTGGGCAAATTGATCTTCTGACCACTCGATCCGGATACTCCGCGCGGAGGAGTATCCACAGAGTCATATAAACAGGTCCTTAAGAACGGCCTCCTTCCCTTCTACAAGACTAGAGATCCTTTTGTTCAAGATAACGCGAAAGTTCACCTCTCAAGAGGTGTTCCGGAGTGGCTAGAAGAGCACGGGATTCACTATATCGACTGGCCTCCTCACAGCCCCGATCTCAACCCTATCGAGCACGTCTGGCGACTTCTGAAGAGGCAGATACGTGCTATCAAGCCTGAATTCTCCGAATTGAAGGACAATATCCCTCATTACCAGTACGCACGAGTTAATTGAGAGGGCGTGGTCCGAGATCGATCCTGAGCAGGTACGCGTCCTGATCGAGTCTGTTCGCGATCGCATCGCCGCATGCAGGCGCGCTGGTGAATAGTACACGCATTACTGAACGGGCTATTGAATGCAATTTATTTGAGAATTTTCTGACCAGAATTGAGTGTGTTGTGGTTCAATTGAGTCGTGAGGTGTAGCAGGTCAGGGGTCCAGAAATTGGGCTGTACGGAGACTTTTGTCCCCCGATTGTACCTAAGTCAATCTAAAGGAGTGGTCTCTGCTGTTCTGCATATATATAGGTGTTGAGATAACACACAATGAGCCTTCGTACAAGACAGCGTGGGTGGATCAGCCGCACGAAAAGACGTGTCTCCGGGAAGAGCTTCTGGGCCGAAGATGATGAGGTCCAGAAGGCAACATATAACAGCTCATAGTTCTAAGTTTCATCACTCTTTCATGCCCGTAAGACCTAATGCCTATACGAAACGGGCAGCACGTAAGCCGGCGGCCCAGGCCCAGCCGCTGTAAGAGGCGTGCGTTCCCATTTAAATCCTTATGTTTGTGCTTAGGGCGCTCACATCGGGAAATGGTTCTGTTATCCGTCGACAGAGCAATGCGCACGATCCTCTCCGTATTGTGTACAGCGGCTGTTCCATGGGCAACGACCAATCTTACCCTGTTGAGGAGCTCGAGCACGTGACTGCCGGGTCTCTGAGCTGGAAACCCTCTCAAAGACGCAAGGGCGGACCAGTGGGATGAACACTTGATTGACGTTTCTCCGGTCGGTTGCTTGCCTAGACAGCCGATGGGTTGTCATCCAAGGCCCCGGCCGGCACGCGTCGTAGAGACTGAAGTCGGACGATGGTTGGTTCAAGGTTGTGGAGCGGATTGAGGCTCGGCTTGTCTTGTCGATGCGGCGGATCCCGAAGGTAACATCAAGTCCCAGACAAGTCTTGGCGGGCACGTGGAAGAAGCAAGGTAGGCAAATGTGACGCTTTTAGGCCCGATCGTTATGGTAGCAATTGCGATTCTCGATTGATTGAAAAATTGACACAGATCGAGTACGTTGTGATGAATCAGCCACTGGTTTTGGGTACCGCCTGCGTGCGCCTGCTGTGGCAACGACAAGTCGATACATCCAATGCATTTCCATGGACGACATCTGGAGTCGTGTGTGCTGTCACGGGTGGAAGTGGACTTGCTAGTGTCGTCTAACTTAAAAGAAGATAAGCTTAAGTAATGCCAAGAGCGAAGTAGCATTGAACTTTCCAGGCTTTTGCGCGGCACCCGAGATGCTGTTCCGAACTCTGTGAAGGTTCGGGATCGGCGAAGAACCTTGACCATTGGACGGCACTGCGGCATAGCAGCTCATCTTATATTACGAGCCTCCTCTCCCAAAGGAGGCCCAGGCTGCGTTGTTCATTTCCACAGGGCTATCGCATACCATTGTTCGGAAGTCTCCCGCTGACGATGACGACATTGCCGACGTCGTATGGACAGGTTCCATTCATGATTCCAGCCATCGAGGAATGATACCGTAACGTCCTCCTGATGGGAATCGGGGTGCATGAATGCATTATTCGGGTCATATGCAGTCAGCATGGGGTGCCAGATGTCTTGCATAAGCAGCTCGTATTCAGCACAAGAGACCCTCCCCTGACAGCTGACCTGATTGACCCCCCGCACAATGCCATTGGTGAGTGGTCAGCCGGCACTCGAGGCACAGCCAGCCGGGCCAGCTGGGTCTCCGAGTCTTCCCCGAAGAAGCTTAGCGGCTGATGGGGATCCCCGTGCTGTCAATTGTCATCCCCCATCCAGTCAGCCGTCAGCCCAATCCAAAATAGAATCTCGGTTGAATCTTGGGCGGGGGTCCATTGCTTCTCGAATCTCAGGGGATTTCAGTCATCAGATGATGGCCATCCGTCAAGTGGTTGATCTCCGACCAGACATGTAACCCTTTCACAGTGTTGGTGTTATAATAAGATTATTAGACTTCCAGGCACAGAACTCTGCCCTGTCATTCTTTCTGCAGTCCTTACCTAGTGATTGGGCCATTGACTTTTAGTGTATGTGACAGCGCTCTCGAACGGCATTGAGGACCCTGGAGCCTGTCACGGGCCCTGTAACTTGTAAATGGCCAATCACAGCGAGCATCCGGACAGCCCAGACCACTAGAATTTTGCGCCGATCACGACTCGTCTGGATCCATGCGCAAAGCAAACTGCCAAACTGCCCTGTCGTCATTCCTCGCTGGCCCAATCCGTGCCAATCCCTTTGGATCACTGGATTATCATCCAAGCCCTCGCATTCTGGCACTCCAAGCTGTCTGTCTCTCCGACATGGCGTAGGAGGTAAACAGTGTGACAGTCCACGTCCGCTTCAGTCCGGAGTCCAGAGTCCAGAGTTCAGAGTTCCAGTTCGCTTGTCGTCATTCGTCACTGCATTCAACACAGCGACAAGTTACAACATTCACTTGTCAGGTGTCCAAGTCTATTGTTTCGCACGCTCGCTCGCTCTCCTATCGAACCGACCTGCCTACTACTCTCCTCCTTATCCTACGACCTACCTCCCTCACGTATCGTCCACCCTCTTTTCTCCCTCCGCGACACTCCTAGAAACCCTAGCACACACATTCCTTCCGTCGCTCGTGCGACCTCCACGCCGTGGTGTTCGAGATCAATGAAGGGATACGTGCACGACGTCCACTCCTAAACGAACGTACTCACTCCTGCGGTCGCGTCATTCGTTTGCGCCAACCATCGGGCCCGCGACTGCATTATCGAGAGGAAACTGTCTATAACGTATCCGGAAACCAGCTTGGGGCACGGCATAAGTTCTTCTGGGGTGTCCGTACCGTACCACGAACGAGACAGGAGAAATTTCGGTGCGAGTCACGTTTGACCAGACAAGAGACCTGAACCAAACCGGCACGATTTACGTCATCCTCACGGTACCGAGTTTTTCGACTGCTCCCTCACGATAGGTACTATACCGTCAATCGGATTGCTAGCATCTATCGCCAGATCTTGAGTCTACGTGGCTTGCGAACCGAACCGAACCCCTTCCCGCGCTCGAGCGGCTCTCGGCACCGCGATGGACGGACTACGGAATGTACTACGGGATGTGATACGGCGGCATGCGCAGCAATTGGTGACGAGACAGGACGCCAACAACCCGGCTGATGAGCTGTTGGAGCTCCTGCAGAATCCCTTCAGGCAGCAGGTATTGAACCGAACTTCTTATATAACGGTATATGTCACTGATACGTTTTTAGCTCGGGGATGGAGCTATTTGGTCTGCTTTGGGCACGTCAATAGGATTTACTGCCTTCATAGCCATTGCCTTCTCCCTGGTGCGGCCCTACAACACTGTCGTCTATGCCCCGAAGCTCAAACATGCCGACGAGAAACACGCACCACCCCCGATAGGAAAAGGGTATCTTGCCTGGTTCACGCCCCTGTGGAAGACGACCGAGAAGGACCTGATAGCCCACGCCGGCATGGACGCTGCCGTCTTCTTGAGATTTACCAGGATGTGTCGAAACATCTTCCTAGTTATTACCGTCATTGGTTGTGGCATCCTCATCCCCATCTACTACGGAATGAACAGCGATAAGAGTGGCAAACAGCAGTGGTTCATGAGGTTGACGCCGCAGAATGTTTTTGCTCAGCCGGTGTGGGCCTTGGTTGTCGTCGGCTATCTGTTCAACCTGACTATCTGTGGCTTCTTGTGGTGGAACTATAGGAGGGTGCTGCAGCTGCGACGCATGTACTTCGAGAGCGAGGACTATCAACGAAGTCTGTCAGCCCGGACTCTCATGGTAGGTGACGGTCAAGCATCTGAAGACCGATTACGACTGACGTGATGACTAGTTGAATGACATTCCCAAAAAAATGGCCTCTGATGAAGGCATTGCGCGGATGATCGACAAGGTCATCCCACAGTCCTCGTTTTCCAGAACCGTCATTGCGCGAAATGTCAAAGACATACCGGATCTGATTCAACAGCACGATCACACGGTTCGAAAGCTTGAGAAAGTGTTGGCCAAGTACCTCAAGGATCCCGATAATCTTCCCGCGTCGCGACCTATGTGCTACCCTTCCAAGAAAGATCCGTCCTATAGCACTTATCCCAAAGGCCAGAAGATCGATGCCATTGAGTATCTCACTCAGCGAATCAGAGAACTTGAGATTGATGTCAAAGAGGCGCGTAACAGTCTGGATAAGCGCAATACCCTGTCATACGGTTTCGCAAGCTACGACGACATATCCGAGGCCCATTCCATCGCGCACGCGCTCCGCAGCAAGAAGGCCCAAGGTGCAAGAGTGGTACTGGCTCCTAAACCGAACGATATCATCTGGGACAACATGCCAATGACTCCGGCTACTCGAAGCTGGCGAAGGCTGGTTATCAACTTCTGGATCTCCATTCTGACACTTCTCTGGATTGCTCCCAACGCAATGATTGCCATCTTTCTGGTCAACTTGAGTAACCTGGGGCTTGTGTGGCCCGCATTCCAGACCCAGCTGGCTGGTAACTCCGGCTTCTGGTCCATCGTCCAAGGCGTGGCCTCTCCAGCCATCACCTCGTTGGTCTATCTGGTGCTTCCTATCATCTTTCGTCGACTCTCCATCAGAGCCGGTGACCGTACGAAGACGGGACGCGAGCGGCATGTCGTCGCCAAGCTTTACGCATTCTTTGTCTTCAACAACCTCATTGTGTTCTCGCTATTCAGTACGATCTGGAGCTTTATTGCGTCCGTGGTCAATGATACCCAGAAGGGTTTAGACGCCTGGCAAGCCATCGGTAAGAACGAATTTGGCACGCTTCTATTCGTTGCGCTGTGCAACATCTCCCCTTTCTGGGTGACGTGGCTCCTGCAGAGGAATCTTGGCGCTGCTATCGACCTTGCGCAATTGTGGACTCTTATCTACAGCTTCTGCACGCGCAAGTTTTCGAGCCCTACGCCACGTGAGATGATCGAGCTCACGGCGCCCCCTTCATTCGACTACGCCAGTTACTACAATTACTTCCTGTATTATTCAACCGTGGCTCTTTGTTACGGCGGTCTTCAACCGTTGGTTCTCCCAGCTGCAGCACTATATTTCTCCATTGACGTCTGGTTGAAGAAGTACTTGCTTCTCTACATATTTGTTACGAAGACCGAGTCCGGGGGACAATTCTGGCGCGTCTTGTTCAACCGCTTTGTCTTTGGCACCATCATCTCCAACCTGGTGATCTTCCTGGCCGTTTTCGTTCGTGGTGATGGCACCCATACGATGGCCTACGCGGTTGCTCCATTGCCCTTCATCATGATCTTCTTCAAGATCTACTGCGCTCGAACGTTTGACGTTAAGATCCATTACTATTCGACTGGCAATGTCAACAAGCAACCGGAAACCTCCATGCTCAAGGATCCGTTGCGGTCAAGCAATCTTGCTTCCCGTTTCGGCCATCCTGCACTCTACAAGGGCCTCATTACCCCCATGGTACACGCCAAGGCCCAGAACATCCTCGCCTCTATCTACAAGGGACGTCTGACGGATGGTCGCGAAGTCTACTCCGGGGACGCCATGTCTACCTCTGGGTATTCCGACTCGTACGTCATGAACCCAATGAACGCTGGCAAGCCCGGTAAATCTGCGGCTCTTCCAGGATTCGAGATCGTACCTGAGTCGAGGCTTGATTTCGAGTATTACAAGAACCGTCAGGAGTTCGCCTCTGAGCATGGAGGCGGGGATATATATGGTCGCTCCAACGACGTCATGCGCCCGGGCACTCCTGGCAGTAGTATGTGGAATGGTAGTGAGCCACCATCACGCTCAGGCAGTCCTACATTACCTTCCATACCCCGGGTTGGCAGCCCCGTGCCCGGCAGGATCTACTCCCCAACCACCAACGCGGGCATCACTTACCCTAGTGGCTATTCTCAACCTATAAGTAAGCCGTACGCCCCTTCCGTGGACACTGGTCGATCCCGCAGTCCGATATATGCGCAGGGAAATGATAGTGCATCCAACTTGGTAAGCAACGCGGCTGCCATGCCAATGACCACGCCTGGGCCTAGAGAGCGCAGCTTGGATCGTGTGCATAGGTCACCGGGTGGTGCAGGAATGCTTGGTGGCGGACCACAGGGATACGGTGGCCTCCCACAGGATGAGGACATGGGTGGTGACCATGACCCCATGTCATACAACTATTTCCGAGAGGCGCGGACACCGAAGCGGCATAACCCCGACGAGTGGTAGCGACCGTCAGCGGTCCGAGCGGTATATACAGCAGGGCCGGGCGGAAAACAGGTGCAAGAGGATCCGACCACGGTCGCTCGTGGATAGGCGGCGTTTTCGGCTACGGAGCTGGTCTGCCCGGCGAACGGCGACCATGACGGCATTTGCATTTGAGGACTGGACACCGCTGGAGACGGATGCATGGGCACGGCTGCTCACTTTTCAAGACGAGGTAGACGGCCATGATCACCTGGGTTGGCCCCCCTTTGTAGCGATTACGTACTCATAATGCTTGTGCTCGGAGAGTGACGGCTGGATAGCACTCACGCCGAGCACCCAACATGCTTAATGTTCTGAATAGATCAAGATATGACCAGCTTGTATCCTGACATGCCTTGATCTGTTGAGCGCCGTGAATACAGTTGCTACGGGGTGATATGGCGAACACCTGAAAATCAGCAGCCTGAAAAATGGTCCCGCGTCTTATATCAAAGGGGATCAGTCAGTACTCGCAGTGTCGCAAGCTGCGACTTATCGGGCATTGGTCCGTCGTCTGTGCCTCTCATTGCTGTCCTGCCCCTTTAATGTCTGCGCCTCTGTCAGGTCACCGGAGCAGTGATAGGGGAAACAAGTCGTGGATCAAGAATATTAATTGCGCCGATCATGCATAGCTCTCTCCACCTTCTACCAACGCCCCGTGTCCTCAATGCTCCTCTCCCACCAAGTTCCAAAAAAATCTCAGTTCGAAATAACAGGAGCCCGTCCCACATACTCCTCCCCGTCCAGCGCTTCAACCATGAACCTCGCAATACTCGCCCTCGTAATCTTAGGCATGAACCCCGGAATGCCCCTCCCCTCGTCCCCATACACCCTGACCGGCGCCGCCGGCCCCTCGGCCAGCATGACGGGCCGCACCATCACGAAGTCCACGCCTGCCTGGCGCCGGGTCTCGGCGTCGACGGCGTCGTGGTCTTCCATCTGCAGCTTCATGTTGGTCTTGGAGAACACGAGGCCTGTTAGCAAATTAGATTTAGTGACTATTCCTTTTAGATGTTTCTCCCAGAAACAAGGAGTCGTAACGCGTGTCTCGGGAGCAAGGCTATTAACACGGGCTAGAAGAGGGAATTCGCGCCTAGGACATGGCCGTGTGGGGAAATAATAGAATTGAAAAGGTACATACGCATCATCCAGCCCAGCCCCGCGAAGCTCGTCCCGGCGCCCTGGGAGCTCATGATGACGATTCTGGAGGCGCCGTGCGCCTTCATGCCCGCGATGGCGTTGGCTACGCTGTCGGCCATCAGGCGCGGCGGCGTGTCGGGCGACGGCGCCGCGAAGGGCGAGTCGGATGCGCGTCGCGCGTTGAGGGCTACGATTATGGCGGTGGGGACGGAGGTAGGGCTGGCGGTGAAGGCGGTGGCGATGTCGTGGGGGTTTAGGGGCGTGCCGCGTATTATGGTGAGGTTTCCTTGGGGTGCCAGGGACGAGGTGTTGCGCACTAGGGCGGTGATTTGGTGGCCTTTAAAGAGGGCTTCGGCGATGATCAGTTGGCCGGTGCGGCCGGTCCCGCCGATCACGAGGATATGCATTGTGGTGGTTGCTAGGAGGTGAGGTAGTAGAAAAGGCGGTTATCTTCGTTGGTTGGAGAGATGCATAATAGATGTAGGAATCAGAGAGCTGAAGATACTTTAGGGTCTCGGGAGATGTCTTGGAGCGAAGATGAGAGTTTTGTGGTCGAAGGTATCTGTGAAATGCGAAGGCTCGATGATTTATATCGTGATGGCAAGCTGACTTATGTATTCACCTTCAACGGGTGTCTTCTCTTCTGTATACGGTCTCTTCAACTCGAATCGTACGAAAGACACGGCATTGCTGGTTCGGATCCGACGACCCCCGACAACGGCCATTCCGCGCCTGAACATGGGAGGTCTCAGGTATGAACTTGGAACAGGTGCCATTGGAGGTAGGATGAAGCTGCGAGAAGCCCTTGAGCTTATGCAATCTCCCTCGGGGACACAATCCGTAGGGAGGCATGGTTAGGAATATCTCGGCCGAGTGTCGGATCCGCCAGCAGCTTGGAGGTTTCTGCCCCCCTGAAAGATGCCTCGGCCGAGTGCCGGATCCACAGCAGCTGTAAGTCAGTGAGGGCGCGGCTTTGATATCGCCATGATGGTCCATGGTCGTATTAGGCAGCGGAGTTCTCGAGATCCGGCAGGATTCTAGTACATTGCCTCTGCTGACTGAGCCACGCTTCATGCGCTTGTATGAATTTGCGGCATAGGCCCCCCTGACCGATAGGTAGGTACGACCGCAGCTCGATACCGGACTCGACGGTGTCAACCTCTAGTCTTCTATAAAGACATGGCTTCTTCCACGCTACATACTGAAGATGGAACATATCTCTTGCTTTATAGCTTTCCTATACCAATTATCCGTCAACGAAGACACCAACCTTCTCGATTACACTCCATCTGCTCATACGGTTGATTCAGGCTTCACACTCAGACTTTGTTCCCTTTGCCTCACTGACTCGCTTCCATCGCGATGTCCCCTAAACCTCAGAGTGTTGCAATCGTCGGAGGTGGCCTTGCTGTGAGTACAATGAGTCGTATCTCCATACTCACATCGACTGACAATTTCATAGGGCATGGCAATGGCTCTCGCGCTCCATCAGCTCTACATACCATGCACTGTATACGAGGCGCGCAATACACATTCAGCCTCCAAGACATCCAGCGGTGCGGTGATGCTGTCACCGAACGCATTGAGAATCCTGGACGGATTTGGAGTTTACTCTGAGCTTCAGAAGAAGAGCTTCCCCTTCGAATACGTCTACTACAAAAACGCGGACGAGCAGACAATCGATCGCTATCCCTTTGGCGGCGAAGCTCTCTTCGGATACAAGGCTCTCCGGATCTATCGCCAAGAACTTCTGGATACTCTCTACAACGCCTGCTTCGAACGGAAGATTCGCGTCTGCTTCAACAAGAAGTTCACCAACGTCACCGAGGAGACAGACACAACCGTTGCCTTTGAGTTCGCCGATGGCACTACCACGACAGCCTCTCTGCTCATCGGGGCAGATGGAATCCACAGCAAGATACGGGACTACGTCGCGCCAGGAACCCAGAAGAAGTTCATGGGCATGGCGGCCCTAACCTGGGAAACGCCAACGAAGCAGCTCCGGATCCCCGAAGGGAAAGACTACAAATTCCCGGTCAGCGTTCTGACATCCAACGACGTCTTTGTCCTGGCACCCCAGAAGCCCGACGGCTCGGCCATGCTGTCCGGGATGCAGTTCCCCATTGAAGACCACACGAGAGAGGGCTGGGAGCAGCTCATGGCCGACAAGCAAGGGCTTATTGACCGGGTCAGGAACAGCGGGGACCCGGAAGCCTGGCCCGACATCGTCAAGTCCGCCATGGAAGACATTAACCCCGAGTCCCTGAACATGTGGGTGTTCTACTCGATTTCGCGCCTGCAGAACTGGGCCTCCGCGAAGCGCAGCGTGGTCATACTTGGTGACGCTGCGCACGCGATCCCGCCGACGACTGGCAACGGAGCTTCGCAGGCTTTTGAAGACGTCATGACTCTGGCCCTGCTGCTTTCCGCTCTGAGAGAGCATAAGGGGCTGAAGTGGAGAGACGCGTTGGGCTTCTGGCAGAGGACACGCCAGGACCGCATTGACCGGCTTCTGGTCTTGACCAGGCAGCTCAACAACAAGCGCTTGCCTCTGGAGAAGCAGAAGCTACTCAGCAGGGAAGATGTTTGGTTTGATGAGTCGGCCGAGAATCCTCGCCAGATGGCCTGGCTGTATGAGCCGAAGATCGAGGAGGAGGTGAAGGCTTGGACCGGTGAAGCACTAAAGAAGGGGACGGAGACATGCCCGGTCTGAAGACTTCTCTCGAGAGGGAAGTCCGAAGCGAAAGTGGAAGAGATGGATTTGAAGAGTCGGGTATGAAAGGTGAGAGAGGCGGTATATGATGGTAGACATTGGGATGGTCAATAAGACATGACGTAGGTCGGAGGTGTTCATGGGTCTCTCATGGGCTCCCGTGAATCATGCTGCGGGCCAGCCGCAATACCTACCATACTACCTTGCGTCAAGCTCGATGCTCACTGATTGGTTTGATCTCTGGGATTATTCTCTCTTGCCCGCCGTGTCTTTAGCTGGAAATCTATTATATTCCATCAAATACCATCCAGCAACGTCTCTGACCCTAGATATACGAAAGCGTGATAGAGTCTCCGAATGGGAATCGCCAGATGTGGCAATGTGCTGGTACCGTAATGTATTGGGGATGTTTCCCGTCATACCTCCATGAGAAAGCCTAGGCGTGCAGCTCGCAAAGTGTGTGATCCCGTGGTGTAGAAAATAACCATTATCCCGCACCATTGATCAATGCCGTCACCCTCTGCGTCCGAAAATCAACTATACGGAAAGAGGGGTCACCCTCGCCATCTTGTAGAGCAAGATCCCGAGGTAAATCTCGATAGACTACCAAAATATAGCCATCATATGTCTACACCAAAAATTGTCGTTACCACCCTATATCTTAAGGTACTAATGCCTAAGATTATGATCCCTTGATTAAGTCGGCGGCCTTCTCCGCAACCGCATAAACAGTAAACCGTGTGTTTCGAAGCCAGGAGAACGCGAAGATATTCGCGTTTAACGACATGCACGTTTTTGGTGCCATACACCTTCAGCTGGCCATCAACAACAACCCCCTTCTCTTTAGGCCTTATGGAGCAAGTGCCAACAATGGTGTGTAGTCTTGGCCGTCTCTTAGATACTGCTTTGCGTCTTAGGCCTTGGCGTGGTTTCGTTTACCATTGGGCACAAATCGCAGCCAGTTCAGTCTTGTACGGGCGCGTACATGGAGCGCCTGTCGCCACCAAACCGATCAGCGAGCCACTCCGCCAGAGCAGGGCTACTATCCTTAGTCCACTCGTGCGGCACCCATCCGCGGAGTTCGTCGACGACGCGATCCCCCCGCCTGCGCTCCATTGGATTTCTCGGGAGTAGTTGGACCGGGGGACGGGGATCTTTTGCCAAACCCCACACGATCGACGAGGAGTACCCAACGTACACAGCGCGGGGAGGTGAGCCAGCCAGATCAGTGCCGGACGGTAGCAGTGGTCAAGGCACAATGATGATATTTTTGCGAAGCTCGCCCCCCCCCTTTTGTGGATGACCTGGTTCTGTCTGGCCACGCCGTCCATGATCTGTGCCGCAATCTCGAGGTGGAAGCTTTCGTCGTAATGGAAGGCGTCAAGGTAGCTGACCTCGCACTGTGGCGCACAGGTGTTCATGCTGTACAAGTCCTTTAAACAAGGTCCGTCCAGGTACTCCATTAGTAACAGGCGAACAGGCCGGCTGAACTCGACACCACCACTGGTCAACGGAATGTCAAACGTCCTTGAACCGTAGCACTCGGGCGCGAAAGTGCCGGTCTGCCCCTTGCTCTGCAGACACTCGTAGACTGCTGCTTCACGGCTGTATTCGGCATCTGCAGAGTAAGTAACGTCGGAAGGATAGACAGGAGTAAGCCATCCCTGCGAAGGCGTAAGTGCAAAGGGGTAATAGAGCGCGTCAAAGATCTTAGCAGCAGCCGTGTACGATGCTCCGCCCCCTTCCGGCGTAACGTGACACGCCACGACCTGTGCTCCTTGGGCGTTACCGATTGATAGCGACTTGAACACCGTTAACGAGGCGGTGAGAGGCTTCGATTGATTGGTAGTGTTCATAGGGGGGTGTTCCAGTACATGCTTGCTTTGGGTTGTGGCTTTGAGCAGCTCAGACGAAACGCTTTTCCGTGGCTTGAAATCATAGTATCGGGCCCCGAACGGTGGAGGAGGAGAGTGGCTTTTGATTTCGGCCTTGAAGCCCGGGAAGTAAGGACAGTTCGGTCGGTCGGGGTCAGGCAGTGGTTTCCAAGACTCGTATTGGCTCATCTTGAACCACTGATTGAATCCCCCAAAAGTCACACGAGAGGAACCACGAGACTAAGGGGTAGGTGGTTGGGTTGTCAGAATCAGTGATGAGATGCGAGAGCTTTGGATGTTGGATCGCAGTTGAGAGCGTTATACCAACTATTATACCCATCATCCATCCATCCATCTGTGCCATGTGTGTGCCACGTAGACGTTGACCCCCGGCCTTTGACCCTGACCCACAGCACGCGGGCAGGCGGTAAATTCAGCGAATTGGCGTAGGGTGTCGGCGCCTTTATCCTCTCTTTATCAACCGACATCGACTGTCACAACCACGAGTCATCGCACGCCTGGTTCCAGCTTCATACCTGGCTGCTTCTTGACAGCGGCTGCGCACCTGGCATTACCTCTCGCGATAACCTAAGTTCTGCAATCCACTGCACATCTAACCAGGTCTTCAAAACCCGCCCCCATCCAGCCAGGTCGGCTGTAAACAGCATGTCTGGGATAAAAGGCGCGCGTAACGACCGATGGGCACCCCCACCCGATCCTGACCGGCCCAATTGCCCTTATGTTCCAGGATTCCAGACCGGCATCGAGACTCATAGACCTCCGACCCTTTTCGGTGGCCGCCTCTATGGTCGGGGAGAGCGTCCGGACCCATCGGGAGAATGGCTTAGCAACGCAACCCAGAGCGAGCATGTACTCGCCTATCCTCCACTCGAAACCTCAAGCCCAATTCAGCCCGCCACTGCTAATCTGACAGTCATAAAGACCATCAGCATCGGTAACGCGAGGGGCGCGCAGCTAGTCGCCTGTCGTGTGGCGCCGCAAGATGGCAAACCACCTTATTCCGCTGTGGCGAAAATATACGACGCACTTTACTATCCTTTCTCCGATTATATCATACGGGCGCCCATAGATGTCGTCGACATGGCTGATGAAGACTACAGCCGCGAGGCTGCTGCATACGAGCATCTCAAAACCAGGGGCTCCACTGGATCCTTCGCGCCTGCTTACTTCGGGTCTTGGACGTTGAGAATGCCAATCACGAAAGACGGAAAGACAATCCAAAGACCAGTCCGACTCATACTGATGGAACACCTCGACGGACCCTCAATGAGAGACATGTATGCCCGGAACGCCTCCGGACCAAATGCCACCTTGGATGGGTTTCACCTCGAAGAGGAATACAGACTGGAAGTCCTAGCGCGACTGATGGACGGGTTATCGAGACAATTGCATATGGGAGTGGCCCAAAGAGACGTGGCACCGCGAAATGTCGTTGTCGTGCCGCCACCCGCGGCGAGACCCTCGACGAAGCCTGTGCCTCGCGTGGTGCTTGTCGACTACAACAAGTCCATCGTCTACGAGAGAACTAAATTCGGGCAACGCGCCTGCCAGAAAATGGAACTTCCACCAAACCCGATGGAACGCTATTGGGATGAGTCACTGCCGGATTTGGCTGGCTGGATCCCGCATGAATGGTATCGAACGTCACGGCTTCGACAGGAGTGGTTAACTAATCGATTTGGAGGGGAGAAGAGGTCTTTGTACGCGCCCATAAAGAAGACTCTAGAGTTCACAGATGAGGCCGACGAGTTAAATCCAACTACGAAAAACGTAAGTACATATGTAGTTGCAGATGCTGCAGGACCGACAGCCAGGGCGATCTCGCCACACAGGAAACGGACTCGCCCAGTCGTCCTCAAGGAAGTTGCGCCGCCGCCGGTTATGATGCCGGGTGACAGGTACAGCACGTGGCCGATACAGGTGATCCCGCCTCATTTGATGCAGAACCAGCACCCCGAGTTTGATGATTGATTGGCCGTCGCTTATAGTCGTCATGAATTTGACCGATGGTTTCCGAGGTCGGGCGGTATTAAACAGCGGACCATAGATCTGTCACTCTTCGGGGTGAGAGGGAGGATACCTATCCAAGCAATCCTCTATGTATCTTTATACTTTCCCAATCAATACTGAGCATCGAAAATGTTCTTCTGCCCGTGTTCTCCTGACTCGCAGTCCGCTTCTTCTTCAACGCTCTCTGGTTTGATGAGGTCATTTGCCGCCCCCTTTCCTCTCCAAACCGCTTCTCAAGTCATTCTGAAAAAGCCAAGCTCCTATACTCAAGCCATACGTGGAATACCCATCCGCAAAATTAACCAAGTGAATCGCTCCATCCGGACTCGATGGGTTCATGGGGAGGGCCTTATCCGTAATAAACCGATATTTACGATCGGAAAGTTCCGACATGACGGCGTTGCCGTAGCCCACGAGGACCACACGCGGCGGAAGCCACAGGCACCAATCCCCGAAGCCGTATGTATGGTCACCGATCAGAGCGTGCAGTTACGTCCGAAAGTTATTCCGGTAAATTGAAGAATGGACGAGAAGATATCAGCCGAACACAGAGTTGTGTATGCACCTACTCACAAGGTCCCGACCAACTCAATTCACGTCAATATGGGGGTCCGGTTGAGTGGGTTGCCAAGCTCTTTGTAAACTTCCAATTAAGTTGATTGACTTTGGTTGATAGAGGGGTCCCGTTAATATGAATTAACATCCGTTAATATATAAAAATACCTAAAAATAGTAAGGTTTTATGGGGTATAAGAAGTACCTTGACATGACCTACTATGACTCAGATATTTTAATATGGTTAAAAAAATATCCACGATATCCACGTCAATATCAACCCACGATAGCCTCGTCGTTAAGTTAGTTGCTAAGGCTGCAGGGGTATCAGTGGATTGAGTTGACGTGGATTTTCACGTCAATATCAATCCACCATGGATATCCGTTGAGTTGTTCGGGACCTTGCCTACTCACCCCAATGCCGAGGAGATCAGGTAGACATTCTTCTATGACTCTCTATAACGCATTCGATTGTCAACGGTGCAATAACAGCATGAAAGACTGGACTCGTGATCGTGTTGGTGGGTTCAAGGCACCGACGTCTCTCCCGGGCAGCGTGCATAGCGGCCCAACACCCTGACCAGGCGGGCAATGGGCGCAGCGACCATTCCGAGGATTACTTAATCACGCGGGCGCAAAGTATTGGAGCGGTTGGTTGGTTACGCCTAAACTACCGCGTGTCTGGCTTGCGACCTGCGTACCCCACCCAGTCAGTCTTATCACAAACACTCAGCAGCATTCCAGCGCTAGAATCCACACAGACCTGGACTCTAGACATGGATAATCTACCATACGAGCAGTGAGTATTTGAAATACACACAAGCGGTTCGATCATGGCAGAGTAACTAATAGGTCTAGTAGGCTGGCGGCTTCGAAGCCATTTCGAATTCTGGTCGGCAAGGACAAGAAGGAGTTCATGATGCATGCTGGGCTCCTTGCCCACCTCCCCAGACCACTTAGAGCACTCGTCAACAACAAGATGAAAGAGACGAATGAGGGTCTTGCAGAGTGACCGGAGGTGGACGAGGCGACCTTTGCCCGGTTCTGTCAGTTTGCTTACACCGGCGATTACATGGCTGCGCTGCCGAAGTCCCTTACTGCTCCCGAACAGGAGTCTGTCGCGCAGAATGAAGGCGCGGAGGGAAATTCCCAAGCACCCGTGGCACAGGATGATGAGGACCTGTATGACCTCGGCTTTGGCAGGACTGGGACTAAAAAAGGGAAAAAATACAAAAAGATGATGATGAAGGAATACGTCCAAGTCCCAACACATGTCGGCAGCCTCTGGCGCCAGTTCGGGGAGTTGTCTTACGTGATACCCCAGCCAGAGCAGCTCCAGCTCGAGGTGCCAGGGACCCCAGACATGGACTACACCGAAGTCTTCCTCTCCCCCGCTCGTCTCTATGTTCTATCCGACCACTACGACATTGAAACGCTCATGATGCTTTCGCTCCAGAAGTTACATCGCGCTCTCGTCGACTTCAATCTAACCGAAGAAAGAACTGGTGATTTTGCAACACTGGCAGAGTACGCCTACTAGAATACTGTCGATAAAGCTGGCAGCAAGGACATGATCGCCGAGCCTCACAAAAACAACTATTTTTCTTGACGTCCCGCTGTTAGGGCGCAACCTTGATATTTGCACTAAAGAAGGCACTTCTCTCAGTAACTAACTATCTCTGTTAAGGCACAAGAGAATTTTTCTCACAAGCCGGATGGCACCCTTCCACGACAGGCCCCCAAACACGCCCGTGGCTGTCCCAAAGACGACCACCGGCGGCATGCTCAAATCCCCGGCCCCTAGAAAGACATACGGCCCGGCAACTCCGAGCAGGCTCCGCCAGGCGCTGCTTGACGACATCAGCAGCAGCCCGTCACAGGTCTCTGAGGCTGACTTCACCGTTATTTCCCCTCTGAAAGGAAAATCCCAAAATATCAATGACAGCAGCACCACTAGAATGAAATAACCTCAATTAAAAAAAATCTCGACAGACCAAGCCATTACACGCGATATAGGGAATAAAACCTCCTCCTTAGAGTGCCAGGACCAAGTTGCCAGAATACTGGCTAAAGACAAGCACCTTTATGAAGCCAGGATGACAATGTTTCAAGAGTGTGCTGCAGCGGTTGATAAGTGTGAGAATTCAAACCGTTCTATATTAGAAGAGGGAAGAGAAGAAGATCTCTGGGGGAGAAGTCCCCATATATATGTACAGGTATGCCATCAGAGTGACCAGATAGTCGTACAATAATGGCGCTAGAGTGACCAGATAATCATCTGATAGTGGCGCCAGGTGAATGCCATGAAGCCACCTATCAGCGCATTCATCACCGAAAGCCTCAGCCTGGTACGATATCCAACAATAAGACACTTGAGAAAGCTGGAACCAAACTATATTCTCATGCCAAGGAATTCAGCGCTTTCTTCTCTAAATGTCTGAGCGAGTGGCTGGAAACCCGAGATCCGCCCAAAAGGAAGACCATCCCTGGGGGGATAGGGATGGTAAAGCCCACCATGACCTTTGCCCAAGCTGTCTCCTCTAGCCAACGACAGCATCCACGGACAGTCAACACTACCATAAAAAAAACACAGCCTGGCGCCCGCATCACTGCCAACCAACTGAAGAAGAAATAGGATGATCTCCGGGTCTTTATCCGCACGGATAATAGCCACTTAGAGCCTTATAGAATAAAGTCTATACTGAACAAAAGACTTAAACTTTACCCTCAAGAGCTTAGAGAAGTGACCCAGTGCCCCTCTGGATTTACCTTATACCCAAGGGACAAGCCAACTCAGGCTAAGCTCCTAGCCTTCTAAGAAGAAATCACCGATATTCTCAAGGCAGAAAAGATTGAGACCCACACGGTCTGGTATCACTATAAGGTCGATGGATGCCCAAGAAAGGTCATCAGTGCGGAAGGATTGATAATCAACATTACCGACATTGCTGTTGCTAATGAAGTTGAAGCCCAAACAGGTGACAGACCTTTAAGGTGCATATTCTCAAGGAACACAGTTGATTCTGGTCTGGAGACCACATGGGTGATCTCTCTGCCCTGTGCAGCAAAGAAACCATTCACGCTTTTTGTTCACTCAATAACCTCAAGGCACATTCAATACTCCCCCAAGGTTCACCAATGTGCGAGCTGCTTTAGATATCATGGTAGGAACTACTGATGTGAAAAGCAAATATGTGCACGTTGCGCCAGTACAGTGCACCAGGGGGAGTGCAAAAAACCAATCCCAAAGTGTGTCAACTGCAAAGGACCTCGTGCTGCCAACTTCGACAAATGCCCTGCACGCCCCAAGGTTGTGAAAGGCATCATCCACAAGCACACATGAGAGAAAATCCAGGAAATAAGGCTGGCTAGAGAAAGAGCCAGATCCAAGGCCTTTAATGAAACAGGCAGAAACCAAGCTGGGTCAACACCCAGCAACAATAACGAAGACATCACAATGCAAATCGACATAACAGATACAACTCATCCCAGAGATGCCGATACCATTATTGTTAGTCAATGTTAGGTACATCAAACGAAACACATCGACACGGGCATCTAGTCATCCATTCTGTGAATACAACAGGAGGACAAAAAAAGAGTGCAGGCCCTACAGAATTAGCCATCAACCTGGCTGATTACAAAGGAGAACAAGCAGACATCATTCTGATGCAAGAGCCCTGGGTTGGCATACCACCAGGCAGGAAAATGGGAATAAAGACACACCCCAATTACGATATATACTCCCCAGTGGATTCCTTGGACAGCGACAGTACACGGCCCAGATCTCTCATCTATGTAAGAAAACACCTTTAAGCGGATCAACTTCGGCCCTATGCTACACAAGACATCACCTGGGTCAAGGTACAAGGCATTACATTTGCCAGTGTCTACCGGCCATGTGACAACCCACAGGAAGTGGATGACATTCTGGAAGTATGGACTCCACCTTTTGGCTGCGTTATAGCTGGAGATTTCAATGCTGGCGACACATCCTGGGACTCAAGCAATCCAGGATATCATGGTGGTGCTATACTTGCACAAACTATGGCAGACCACGGACTGGATCTGATTTCTGAACCAGATGTCCCGACACATGATGACGGAAATGTACTAGATCTGGTGTTCTCTGATGTCCCCATGGCTGAAGCCTCAGTTAATGATGCACTTCAGTACACCTCAGATCATGAGACATTACGAATAGTCATTCCAATCCAGGGAGATCTGGACCGAGTACCCAAGGCCAATCATTGGATAGTACCGGACGATAAACTACAGGAGCTGGCAGATAATGTCCAAACCAGGATTCATGAACTCCCCCGGCTGGGTGTATCCCCTGGCCAGGTGGACACCTTTACACAAAGCCTGATCAACATGATCCAAGGCTGTATCAGGACAGTGGGCAAGAGGCCCCGTCAATCTAGGCCCACTGCTTGGTGGAATGATGACTGCAAAGCAGCTGTTCAGACATACAGGGCCCTTTCCAAACAGACTACAAGCCAAGAAGGACGGAATTCAGCCCGACGGGAATTTCGCGGCGTGATTCGGAAAGCTAGGAGAGAGTACTGGCAGACTCTAATCAATTCAGCAACTGAGCCAAAGGACCTATACAGAATCGTCTCTTGGCACAAGTTATCAGCAGGATTGCGTTCCCCTCCAATCATCATAGGAGACCAAATATTCGAGTCACAAGAGAGCAAGGCAAATGCATTACGCTCAGCCACGCTTGAACGAAGTACCTCAGACAACGATATCATCGACCCCTGGTCCGCTCAGATCATACAAGCCAAGCCACACATCCCCCTTGAATACCACGTCGGACTGGAAGAGGCTGAAGGGTGCACTTTAGGAACCAAGAGCAACTCCCCGGGAGTAGATACCCTCATAGTACGGATTCTGAAAGCTTGCTGGCCAGTCATTGGTGAACATATCAGAGCCCTTTTCCAGACCTGCCTACTGATTGGACACCACCCTAAACCATTCAAAGTAGCTGAGGTGGTGATGATCCCAAAACCAGGAAAGAAAGACTACTCCAATCCCAGGGCCTACAGACCAATATCGCTACTGTCATGTCTTGGCAAGGGCCTAGAACGACTCATTGCGAAAAGAATTACCTGGTTTGTTGTCAAACTTGGAATTCTAGCCCCACAACATTTTGGAGCTCTACCAAAGCGCTCTGCCACTGACCTGGTAGCTGCACTCATACACGATATTGAGCAGGCCCTTGACCAAGGCCTCGTTGCAACGGTAGTCACATCAGATGTGAAAGGGGCCTTTGATGCTGCCCTAATGGGACGGCTGGTGGTTCGCATGAGAGAACAGGGCTGGCCAGGCTTTCTCATAAGATGGGTCCAGTCGTTCATGTCCGAGCGGTCTGCAAGAGTTCGGTTTGAAGGTACTGTGACCGATATAAAAGCTCTCACTTGTGGGCTCCCACAAGGCTCACCAGTCTCTCCAATCCTCTACATGCTGTATACAGAGCCAATCTGTGCCCGACTTGGCATGAAAAGAAGACGCTTTGGATATGCAGATGACCTAGCAACACTCTACATTGGAAAGAACCTTAAAGAAACAGCTACAGAGGCTTCTGAAAACCTTCATTTGCTCAACCAATGGGGACATAACAATGCTATTGAATTTGATCCCGACAAAACCGAGATCATGCACTTCTCACGGAAAAAGAACTCAGACAATCCCCCAGTTTGCCACGGAACAATGAACAAAACAGCTAAGCATTCCATGCGATGGCTAGGTGTCCTTCTGGATAGGAAACTAAACTTCAAAGACCATGTTTCTCACTGGGCCAAGAAAGCTAGTAGGGTAGCAAATCACCTTCGAGGACTATGCAACACAGTCAAAGGACTTCCAGTAAAGTCAACCAAGAGGGCTGTGAAAGCTTGTGTTATTCCTATTCTCACACATGGCCTGGAGGCCTGGTACCCAGGAATCGAGAAAGCTGGGAGTTTAGGTGAGACATCAGCATGTCGCATTAAGGGGCTTCTTGGAACAATAGATGCCGTACTACGAACGGCGATCAGGGCTATCTTGCCAGTCTGGAAAACACACCCTGGACATATCTTACACTTTGAATCGCAGATTCCCCCAGCAGGAGTTCTTGCAGAGTCAATAAGACGACGTCACGGCCTCCGACTAGGACGAATAGATCAGAGACACCCTCTGGTTGGCAGGCTCCAAATACAAGCTTGCAAGAATCTAACAAGGCTATAAAGGAGCTTCCAGCTAGTTCCTGACTTCCAGAGACCAACACTTACCAGGCCATCATGGAAGAAGCCCCCAATCCGTAAAGACAAAGACAAAGAAACAGAGCTCTTTAAGCAATGGCTATAGGAGAGAAATGTGAACACTGACCTTGTCATCTATTCAGATGGATCACAGTTGAACGACCAAGGCACAACCCGCACTGGATGAGGTTATACCATCAGGAAAGGCAGCACTACACAAGAAGTATACCGGGGAAAGGGCAGACTTCTCCAAGCAGAAGTAGTAGATGCTGAAGTCCATGGTGCTCTCCAAGGTCTTGTAACAGCCAGGGCAATTGGACACGGAAAACAGCTATATATCTGCCTGGACAACACGTCAGTGGTAGACGGGCTCAATGGGACTCCACCCGAGACATCACAGAACATTTTTTTACGATTTCAAGAACTTGCCACAGCACACACTCCTAGAGTGACCGTCAAGTGGATTCCTGGACACAGAGATATTGATGGCAACGAAGCTGCCGACACACTAGCAAAAAAGGATGCTATGCTAAAAACAGACACAACAAACCTTCCTATAATCTCTTGGGTCAAGAGAGATCTCAAAAGAAAGGGCAAAAAAGAGTTCAACCAATGATAAAAAGACCAACCAGAACCTAGGTATCAAGAAGTATACTCACATACAGTAACTAAAAGAGACCTTATATCTTTTAAGAGGAGTACTTTACACAGATTTCTAGCGGCCAGATCTAGACATGGCGACTTTGCCAGATACCATGAACGCTTTGGGCATACAGACTCGAATAATCACTGCAGCTGTGGTGAAAAGAAAACACCACAACACATTTTCTTTTGTAAGAGGCTGGGGAAAAACCGGCTGCTGCCTAGGTACTTGCCTAGGACAGCTTGTTTATAATACTTAAGGGAGAGGAGCACAGAATGGGCAAAATTCATAGAGAAGAGCAAATTCTTTTCAACAATCTGTCCCTAATAGATAGCTTTTCTTGAAGGACCAGATGGATGACCCCAAGGTCATACCGCCGCAACAACGGGGATGGGCCCGTGAGCGGGACTGACTATACTTATTATCTTGAGACCTCCACAACCCTGCGATACAGAGGCTCTGGAAGGCGTGGTTTGCACTACTGAGGAGCTACCCCCCACGTTAAATACAAAACAAACAAACAAACAATATAGACCTCAGTGCAAGCTTTATCAGCATTACTGCATGCTTCCGCGGCATAGCTGGTGGCTGCCTGTGAGATGCCCTCGATGAGGTCGAATATTTATGTCAAGAACAGGAACTTTACCCTATTCGGGGTCTACAGGTATCCAGGATGGTAATGGTTAGCGGTTCCACGTGACGGTGACCTTTTGGGCCAGTTGAAAACACGTAAAGTTCCGATCTACAACTAATTATAATGGTGATAGGTAGAACTTTACGCGGTGGGAACCATTACCATCCTTGCTACCCGTTCAGCAGAGAATCGTGGTGGGGCAGTTTCAAGGGGGATCCATGCCTCTGACCCTTGCGTCCGCCATTCCATCTACCCCTACATCTACCCCTGTATCTGCCTTTGGGTATACCGAGCCCTGCCGATTTCCCTACCAAGACGCTGGACATTTCAAAATGTTGATTAGGCGTAGAAGAAAGACTCTGGAAGGGTAAACATGGTGGTCTTTTGAGTAACACTTAATACGGCGTAAGTAGTTATTCCCGACACTGCAGCATAGTCCCATTCGGATCATGCCCCCCACGACTAACGAAACATAGCCCGGGACTAAATTAACCCAAGTATGTCATTACGGTGGACCCTACCTAAGCTGCTGTCTAGCCAGGGTGACCGCCTTACTAATACACCTATCGAGGCGCGTGGCTCATCTTCATCTCCAACTCAATCCCGCGTTGATATTGTCTTCCAGTCCAACATCAAAATCCTGCCCTACAATACTCTCGCGGCCTGGCTCACGAGCTGAAAAGGTTCCTCGGCACATCTGAAGCGACGCGACGCCATTACATGATACAATGTTTGGGCTTCTCCTGTTTGCCGCCGCGACGGTGCTGGCCTCGTATATGTACACAAGACTCAGATACGCGCGCTTCGGCCAGTTTGCGCATGTCCCACAGTTACCGAGCCATCTCCTTTGGGGGCATTTGAAAGTCTTTGGGGAGTTCATGCAACGCGGAATACACGACCGCCATCCAGGTACGATATTGGCCACGTTCCCCTCGGACAAGTTGGTCGAGATGAGCGCCCCATTCTGCTACCATGCGTATCTGGCTACCGGGCTGACCAAAAGACAGACAAGATCTTCGAGGAGATGTGGGCGTCCGTGGGCAGGCCACCTGTGATGCTTATAGACCTCCGTCCGATTAACCCTCCCATGGCTCTGATCTCCAGTCATGACATCGCCGAACAGATCTCCAAGCCTACCAAGCTTTTACCTCTGAGCCCACCCAAATCCCCCACCTGGACCCATATGATCCCTATCATAGGAACCACGTCCATTATAGGCAAAGAAGTAAGTGACGACGCTATGCAAAAGACTGTGCTGTTAACGGGCGTTCTGCATCTGACACGATACATGCCCAGGGCGATGGTTGGAAGCAACTGCGGAAGAGATACAACCCAGGCTTCTCAACCCAGCATTTATGGACTCTCTTTCCTCTCATCCTGGAGAAGTTGGGTCCATTTCTGAACTATCTGGATGAGTTCGCCGCATCGGAGGTGGAGTTCTCCATGGAAAGGCTCATCTCTAATCTGACTTTCGATGTGATTGGCGCCGCCGTGATGGAAGTCGACCTCAATGCTCAACACATGGACCGCTCAAAACAAGGAGAGCTAATCCGACAATTCGCTGAACTGGTCAAGACATATAGCGACGACAAGAACAACCTGCCGTGGTGGGTTGTTCCTTTGACAACGCTAAAGCGACATCGGCTGGCTAGGCACATCGACTTTTTGATCAAAGGAATGATCCAGCAGAAGTACGATGAGGTAAAGGAAGAAGCCGAGTCCAACAGATCGCGGAGTATCCTCGCCCTCAGCTTCCAGGACACCGTGGCACTGACGCCGCAGCTCCTGTCTGAAACGTCAGATCAGGTGCGCAGCTTCCTGTTCGCAGGCCATGACACAAACACCAGCGCGCTGCAGTGGGCTTTCTACGAGCTGAGCCGGACGCCGCGCGCGCTCAAGGCCGTGCGCGACGAGCTCGACGAGATCCTGGGACCCGAATCCGATCCCCGAGCAATATGCGCGGCTCTCGCCCAGGATGGGGAACATATCCTCCCGCGCATGCACTACATCAACGCCGTCATCAAAGAGACACTGCGCCTACATCCGCCAGCGGCCACGGTTCGCATGACCGACCCTGGGAGTGGATTTTCAGTCCACACCTCCAGCGGCGAGGAGTATTGCCTCGACGGCGTCATCATGTACTCATGCCAGAGCATCATCCACCGGGACCCGGCTGTCTATGGAGACACGGCGGACGACTGGGTCCCTGAGCGATGGCTTGGCGAGACGGCCAAGAGCATCCCGTCCAGTGCGTGGCGGCCGTTTGAGAGAGGGCCGAGAAACTGCATCGGGCTGGAACTTGCGAATATCGAGTCTCGCGTTATCATCGCTATCGTGGCTCGCAAGTACGACTTCATCAAGACGGGGCTGGGCGAAAGCGCCATGGATGAGAAGGGCCTTCCGGCGCTGAATGAGAAGGGGCAGTACAAAGTCAAGTCGGAACTATACAATGTGAGCCGACCGTTACCCTCTCCCCGCCCTTACAGAAACTCAGGCTGACGATATCATCTGTACTGCTGTAGACTCGGAGGATGACGTCCCAGCCGGTAGATGGAACCACGATGAAGGTTAGACTGGCTGCGGGCAGTGAGTAGACCTGCGGGTAGAGTCGCCCTCTCGAGCTTTGTGCCCCCTCCGAGAGACGGCGTCTCTCTAACGGCGGGGGCATAGATGTGGGACAGCCCTAGAGGTGGGACACCTCCCACACCCAAACCCACAATGTTCACTTATACACATCTCCATAGCCAATGAAGCCCTAGATACCGTAAGTACGGCATCTGAATCGTCTTTTCTTGGTGTTTCTTTTGATCTGGGTTTTACATGGTCTAGACGCGGGGGATCGGCGGCAGTGGGGGTTGGAAATTAGCACTTCCGGGCCTAATCCGAGGGGTAATGGGACCCCTGCCCCTATCCCCTTCAATGTAACAGAAGTTCTGCGGTTCTTTTTTTCTTTTTTTCTGTAAGCATTTTAGGCTTCAGTACATTAAAATGCCTCCTTCATATACTAAAGAAGACCTCGCAGAGACAATTACTGCTGTGAATAATGGCCCATCCCTCCGCAAGGCCAATCTGCGCTTGGGAGTACCGAAATCGACTCTCGTACGCAAGGTAGAGGGCACCACGATGCGCCCAACGCTGAATAGCCGTAAAGAGGCTCAAAATAGCCAAAAGCTAAGCCCTGAGCAAGAGACTAAGGTGGTATCATGGATCCTCCATCAAGAAAAGGCTGGCCACGCGCCAACTCATGGCAATGTGAGGTACATTATCCAGCAGATCCTGAAGTCTATGGGCAAGGCAGATCACTTAGAGGGTAAATACATGCAAAACTTCATCCGGAGGCACCAAGAGATCAAGACTAAGATGGGAAGAAAACTTGACTACAAGCATATCAATACTGCCACTCCCAAAAATATTAATGAGTTTCATGACCGTTACGAGGATTTCGCCTTTATCAAACCCAAAAACCAGGCAAATGTCGATAAGTACGGCATTATACAGGATCAGCAGTACATGAATTGTCTAATCCAAATGGTTTTTGGACGGCTGACCGGGAGATTTAGGTCTGATGGCTTTATAATAGGCAGTTCTGGCTTAAAAAGGCCCAATGTCAAGTCTAATGACGACCGCACGTGGACTATAGTGATGGAATCGATCACCACCACTGGGAAGAAGCTCCGGCCGCTCGTTATATTTAAGGCAAAGTCGATCCAGACCCAATGGTTTAAGGAGCAGCTTATTCAGGAGCATCCTGGAGTAGTAGAGTGGTTTGTGACCTACTCTGCCAACGGCTGGTCCTTGAACAAGATCGCGTTGTAATGGCTTGAAAAGGTGATTTTTTCTTATTTATTAACAGTAACTACATACTAAACAAGCACTAGATCTATTTACCGGATACTGCCCCTAAAGATCCGGAAGATTTTCGCCTGTTAGTGCTTGACAGCCACGGCAGCCACTGCTTGGATGAGTTTATGTATCTGTGTTATATAAATAATATTTATCTGAGTTTTTTCCCTGCCCATATGGTAAGTTATATATTAATCAGTAGTTATTTCCTTAGTAGAAATAATCTCACATCTTCCAATCCCTGGATTTGACTGTGTTCTCTGTGATGAAAGCCGCCTACCGCCGCCTCATCAACCAGCTCGGTCAGTTGAACGATTCGGCGCCTCTAGGCAAGCTACGGTTCCTCAGTTGCCTAGCTAAGGCCCGTGATGAAGCCACGGGGGCTATAGTGCGTTTGGGACGGCATGCTGCCGGTCTTTGGCCTGTAAACTGACGGAAAACCCTCGCGAACAAGCATGTGGTGAAGGCAGCAGATATCCAAGCAACAACTGCTGTTATAATGAATCCCGGTACCACCTCCGAAGCACTTGAAATCCCTAAATCAGGGTAGGACATAGCCCTGATACTATCATCAGTTGCTGAGACCTCTGAGCAGCGAGCAGAAGTCCGCGCGGTTACGAGAGCGTATGATGAGATGGTGGTTGAGTTAGTGCTTATAAAAGAGCTGATAGAGACAAAAGATAACAAAATTGAGCATTTATAGCCTAAAAAACGCCGTAATACACCCCAGGAAGAGCCTGAATAATAGTTATAACAAATTGGGGACATTGTTACTAAGCAAATTGAGCATATAGAGGCCGCACGAGCTGCTATAGAGGCACGGGCAGAGAGACGACGAGTTCTGCGTGAAGTGTAGAACTTAGATACTGACGAATCAGAGAGATCTCTCTCTGAGGACTCTGCGGAGTCATATTCAGAAGATTTGGAGGAATTCGGGCCTCGTGACAATAAAGGGGTTACTATTGATAAAGGGGTATAATAGCGAGGATGAAGAGGATGAGGAGCCCATTGTGGCCCGATCTTCACGTCGCTCAATCCGCCAACCCGCATGCTACCAGGAGAACAGTTAGTATTGCTGAAAATTCCAAGAAAAGGCGATTCTTTTGCTGTAATTACATTATGTATAACCTCAATCCCGATGGAGTTATGGGTGGGTGCAAGTGTGGCCTTTTGGTGTGAGAGGTGTCCCACATCTAGGGCTGTCCCACATCTATTGCCCCGCCGTTATGCGGTAAGCAGAATGTGGGCCGGAGCGCACGAGCTGGATCTGTGCTTGACAAGGGTTCAGCGGCGGCACCCCTAGGTGGGCATAAGGCTGATGAATAGCGACTGAGGGACCGGGTGCTCTTTTCGACGATGTCCCGGTAGTATGCAGTCAGCATGCTACGGGTCAGTCATGAATATTTAACTGAGACTCAACCTGCCACGATGGGGGTTTTCTTTCCAGCTGCAGTCCACCTCCTCGACCCTTTTTGAGAACATGATCTCCTTTCTCTTGACTTTCTGCTTCGTTATAGCAGCCTGCGCGGCAACATACCCAGCTCAGACGGACTGCAACGATGTTCAGATCCCCATCACCGTTTCGGTACGGCGCTTCATCGTGAACGCCACCATCAACGACAACTGGGACGCCGCGGCCCTGACGTTCAATCTCACGAGGAGAGACCCTTGGGCTTTTCTCCCTCATATTTCATCTATTCCAAGGGCCATGTTATTTGCACGGTGAGTGAAACCCCCACCTGCCAATGTGCAGCTGCAGCCCACACAATTCTAGACCATCACGTTCATTTCTTGCTACGTTGACCTGCTCAACCGAATAAACGTACATTATCCTCGTCAATAGGTAGCTAGCCAGGTCGTTCCAACATCGTTTTCGATCAAGCCAGCTGTCGAGCGATGACATCAGAGAATTTACTGTATGATTTCTCAATAATGACGGACCACGGTCTACCCAGAACCAGCCAGCCAAGATTGGAGGCTTCCCCGTTGGTGTTGGTGAGGCGACAGCAACACAGTCCTCTTTCAGGTAAAGCTTATATTCTGGTTGTTTGTTCAAGGTGTCATGCTTTGGAAATCAAGAAGCATTGCGTCCCTGCCATCGGTTTCATTCGAGCATCTGGGACACATATTGTCAGGAAGCTGACACCGCGCCGGCCCTACCTTCTCACCCGTTTCTTCTCGCCCTCTGGCGTAGTTCTCTCGTCTGATGCATCGGCCGACGAGCTTAGTTGCCTCTTCTTGCCACTCACCACTGGGAGGATCTTGGCTGACGCGGAGGAATCACTCTTGCTTCTCTCGCTCGAAATGTATTCGAGCGGATCGGAGTTGAACTCCCCCGCGTCTCTTCTTCTGACCTCCTCGGTAGCTTCAGCGACTTCTTCAGGGGACCTGGTCTTCCTGAGCAGCATCTCGGCAGCTGCTTGTTTGACTGCTAACGTCGCTGCTCAGTGCATACCCCAGCCGCCGGTAACCCCATTCTCGGACTGCCTGCTGAGTTGAATTGACGAGCACAAAGCGGCGGCCCGTCCACTTCGTAATGGAGTGAGACAGCTCTCTCCCGCGAATGAGCTGGGCGCAGCCTGGTCCGCTTTCTATTTGAACACCAAGCTCCCTCAGAACGAGGTCGCCTCCTTCGTACTGCCCAACCGGTACGAGCCCCGCGAACCCGTGATACCAGTCCGAACGGTCTTTATCTGTAGTAGGTAAAAGGTGCTATAGGTCTCGAACGACTTAGCGACTGCCTTGTCAATGCCGCCGGGCAGCAAGGTCCGGAAAGCGTCCCGCATTTGGAAAGCAATGACGTTATCTACCTTGTCCAGCACCATCACAATGTCGGTATCTTTGACGTGGTAGAAGATTCCGTGGTCTACCGCGTACTGGTCCCGTCGCGATTGATGGTACGGGTTCGGGGTTTGGATTTTGATCGACTCTTTGACCACCCGTAGCATCAACTTGAAAGTAGCGTCCCCGCTGTCATCAATGATCTCCTGGCGAGTCTTGTTTTGGAGCTCGGGGTCCAGGTAGAGCTCCTGCTGTGCGAGATCTATTGCTTTTCGCCAATAATCGCTGGTACGACCCTCGATCTCACCGCCTCTGGCGAGGAGTATACGGGTCGCTACCATCTGTTCGACAGCGACACTGGGCGGGGGGCCTGGCGAGTCTGCACCTTTGTCCATCGCTTCCTTGATGGCTTTGGCAATTTTGCATTTGCTGTACGGGCCTCCACCGTCAAAGGCATTGCAGTCTCTGATTCGGATCTTGGCCACACTCCGGTTGTGAAGACGGAACGTCTCGATGACCCGCTCATGTTCTTCGTGTGACTTGAAGGCTCTGGCGTCCGCGATCTCGTTGGCGGGTTTCTGCTGTATATCCACAATATCCTTGGCCAGCTCCAGAATGACTAAGTTATCGTTGTCAATGTGGGTGCGATTTTCGTAGTCATCCAGGGTGAGCCTCCTGTCTTTGGGGAATCCGATGGTGCTCCATGACTGTTGTACGGCACCTCGGATAGGGTCGTTGACTTTCGGCCAATCGCCCGTGCCCTCATAAATGGATCGTAGGCGAAAGGTGTTCTGTCCATCCGATTCCTCCATGATTGGCTTACTAGTGACTTCGGTGGAATGACCATTGTCCCGTGCTGAAAGCGACGCAGTGTCTTTCACGTTTCCAGTATCTGTTGGAATCTGGGCTACGTTAGCCCATCCATAGTCATCCTTCAGGATCACCATCCCCATTCGTGACTCTGTCACATACGTGGCCAATATAAGGCCACGTTCCTCTCCTAATAGAACACTTTGAAATCTCACATGGTAGCATCTCTGATCGATTTATGACCTCCAGCAGCCCTGAATTATCTCATCCTGCTGTTTCTGATCCTTTTGATCACCCTCTTTCCGCTTGTGCGCTACCAGGACTAGCTACCCTTGTTACCACAAGCCTTTAAGTGTTTTTCTATCATAATTGTTCTTTTTATATAGGAAGAGGTAATTTTTTGGCTTATATTTTGCCTTATTTGTAGGCTAGCCTTACGATGTATTATCTTTCTTATATTATGTCTGAATCCATCCCAGAGACGGCCCTGGCCTTTACGTCCACCTCTATCCCTTGTCTCCAAGACCATCAGAAGCTTATCGGCAAGGAGAACTGGGAGGTCTGGGCCCAAATAATAGAACATTCGCTCATTATTCTTAGGCTCTGGTCTCTTATTCTTGAAGCTATCAAGACAGACGAGAAGGAACTATATAAGGCCGTAACTGGTGCTGTCGACGCCCCAGCCACGCCTTCTGCGGGAGCCTCTTCCAAGCCCCCTGAATTTGATGCTAGTCTGAGCATCAAGAGGTCAAAATTATACCTCGCTATTACCCAAAACATCAAGTCTGACCCTGATTCTTGTATCACGGGTTTATTTGACCCTGGTCAGATCTGGATAGCCTTGCGACAGGCATATTCAGGCACGAGAATTGACGCGGTTTCATCCGTTGTAAATGAACTGGCTGTCATTCATTCCCTGACCATGGAGATAAGTTTGTGGGCAATTACTACAGACTAATAGACAAGATCCTGCGACAGGATATTATATATCCTCCGAATATTTGTATTGCTAATTTCCTGGCTGTTATTCGGACAGCTTTTTTAACCCTTTATCACGAAATCTCGAAGGACTATAACCGTGGAATCTTCTTTACGTCAAGAATCTCTTGTACCGGCTCCAGGAGGAGATACAGATTCGCAAGGCTCAAGATGAGACCTTTATCAATAACTTTGGCAAGTCTGCTATGCCTAATAAAGGCAAGAACAAGTGGAAAAATAAGGAGAGAGGCAGTAATTGCCCATCTCTTAATGGTCCAAAAACCCCTAGAGTCAACCAGGGCTCTTCTAACAGCAATACCACGGATCCTATCTGGTGCTATGAGTACAAAGAGCTTGATAAGAAGAAGTGCCACCTTGGATGTAACAAACGCATCCTTAACCAGATCATCCGGCCTCTGAGAAGGCTAGGAAAGCTGGAAGACCTTCAAACAACACTCCCACTCACCAGAGGGGTCACATTGGCGCTTCTGACGCCGCTCAATAGTGCAATTATACCGATAAAGCCATTTCCAGTCAATCTGTCCTCACTCAAGGACCACATAGCGCCAACCAGAGAGCAAGTACCAATCTGATTGGCACTGTCTATGCCACGACAAGCACAGACGTATGGCTGTTTGACGCTGGCTCTACCGTTCGTATTTGTAATAACAGGAAGTGGTTCACTGGCCTTCGAATAGACTCTGACCTGGTCCCTTTTAATACTGGAGGAGGCCCTGTTACTCCTCAAGGTGTTGGCGACGTAGAGATCCGTTCATTACCTCCAATGGTAATACCATCACTCGGACAATATCGGGAGTACTATTTGTGCCTTCCTTTCTAATCAATATTCTCTTCAAGAGACCAGATGTATCGCCAAGGATGGTATCTGATGATCCGCGATCTGTTTGACCCCCATGGGACATGGGTGGCATCATTCCACCGAGAAATGTACGTTCAGACAGAGAGCCCTAGTGTCCAGAAGGACGTATACAGGATCAATCCAGCCCCGGACGTGTTCACCAATATAGTATTCAAGGATTCTTCCCTGGAACTGACCTTTCAAGCTAAATCTGTGGCGCTGAGACTACTCCACCGCTGGCATACAAGACCTGGCTACTGATCTATTGGTGACCTAATAAAGACAGCCAGTATCACTAAAAGGATTGAATTGCCGCCAAATGTATAAGAGCTGGCAAAAGAATTCACCTGTCTGGAATGTCTGGAGTCCAATCTATGTCGCCTAGTCTCTCAAGTTGAACAGGAACATCCAGATCACACTTTAGACCTGGTTCATATGAATACAGCCAAGCACTCTGTCTAAGGCTATAATGGTTCTCTCTATGTCACTGTATTTGTGGATGGCAAGTCTTGTTTAAGGGAGTACTGCCTTCATGAAAAGAAAGGAGAAGCTTCTGACCAAGCCATTCGCTATTGTGAATACGCTCACACCCAGTACGGGCGTTACTGAAAGCGATTCCACATGGATAGTGGTTCTGAATACGCGAGATTCAAGCAATGGGGAGCTGAACGTGGTATCCTGTTCAAAGTCAGTGCTCCATACACTCCTGAACAGAACGGAGTGACTGAGAGATCCTTTGGCGTTATACATGCTCTCATTCGTAGTATTATGAAGGATTCCGGGCTACCTGAAGCCCTTTGGCCGGTTGTTGGACCTGCTGTATATGATAGGCTCAATGTGAGCTATACATTAGGGTATTAAGAAGACTTCTTTTTGAGTCTTCTTTGACGATCTGAACCCTGGAAAGGATAACAAGCCTGATTTGACGAATTTACTGTCAATTAGGCAGGCCGCTGTGGTCTATTTGCCGCAACAGTGCCGCTCTAAGGGAGACAAGACCGCTCCACACGCAAGGAGAGGTCGTATTCTTTGTTCCCTTGGTTCTAACCAGTACCAGGTGTATCTTATACACCTGAGAAAGGTTATAGTTACTACCTATTTTGAGATTTTGGATGGGTATGTACTTTCAGGGGATTTAATCTATATCTTTCCAAACTTCTGTGGTACACTCAATGACTATGAGACAGCCAGACCCGATACTGAAGATCTGCCAACGCCATCTTTGCCAGAGGACGCTCACGATCCTCAGCATATATATATCAAATCAGATAACAGAAGGGATGGTAAAGATGATTCATCCTAACCAGTTGTCACGTTAGAGACCCCTCTTGGGTCCCCTGATATTTCTGATAATGATGATAATTATCATTCTGACTCTGAATATAGCGACCCTGAGCCTAGTACTGCTTTAGCTGACTTGATTCTTCTATCATCTGAACTCGTCAAAAAGTAGCCCTAACGGCTGCTCCGAGGTCAAGAATCCAATCAGGGCTCAACCCAGCGAATGTACTTTCTGGAGGGCGCACTAAGAGGACTCACAACCACTACGTGGCCGAGTCTTCCACCCCTGGCATATCTTCATATATTACGATCGAGGCATCTTATGCCAATTGGCTATCTTCTGACCCTGATCAGGCACTTCCCCATAATGACGAGCCTCCTAACTATAAGGAAGTCATAGAGTCTGCCAAGGCGCCTCAATGACTAGATAGCACTTACAAAAGAATACGGGCATTGCTGCGCAATAATACCTTCATTCTTTTGTAGAGGTCTGATCTGCCTGCTGGGCGTAAAACTCTCTCTAGCCGCAATATCTATAAACGGAAAAAGGACTCTGACAACAACACCTCTCAGTACAAGGCTAGGGTGGTTGTATGAGGCTTCATGTAATATCATGATCTTGACTATTTTGAAACCCAGGCCTCAGGCGCTTGTACTACTACCTGGAGGCTCCTTCTAGCCATTGCTGCCGTTCTGGACTGGGAGATTGACCAGATGAATGCTGTATCTGCATTCCTGATGGGAGAACTGGATGAAGAGATCTTAATAGAGACGCCTGATGGTCTCTCTGACTTCTTTGAGATATATCTAGATAAGAATATTATTAACCAGAGACCTGGCATAATTATGAAGCTTGCAAAACCGCTATATGGGCTCAAGCAGAGCCCCAAGCAGTGGCAGAAACGTATTCGCAGCGCTCTGAAGGACCTTGGATTCGACCCTCTGGTCTCTGACAAACGCAGTCTATGTCAACATCAGCCGTGGCATTATAGTGATCAGCTATGTCGATGATTTCCTTATTCTAGGGGCTAATCATGACGGGATCGCTGTCTTCAAGTAGGACTGGTTCATGTAGAGGGGTGATATTCTGGTTATGTTAATTCCCTCAGTCTGAGAGGACGTGTTGGATTCTGGGCTATGTTAGCCCATCCATAGTCATCCTTCAGGATCACCATCCCCATTCGTGACTCTGTCACATACGTGGCTAAAATAAGGCCACGTATCCTTTTCTTTAGTATCTTGGATATATATAGGGCCACTCTGGCCGCTCCAGAGTAGCTGGAATTCCTCTTCTTAATAGAACACTTTGAAATCTCACAGTATCTTCGGTCTCGACTCCAGGATGTCTGGTCGGCTCATCTAAGGCGATCTGATTGGCATAATCCGCAACGACCGCTCCGAGGTCCTCTTCTTGAGTAGCATTCTTTGCCGTATAGTACTTCTTTCGTTTGCTGATGATTGCCAGATAAGCGCAGCGGGCGAGAAGCAGTGCATGTTTATCCTTCTTCGTAGTCCTCTCTCCGGGAGGCTGCTGTTGAATACACGGATGTTGATTCATGCTATTGATTGTTCTGCTCTGTGTGCAGAGGTTGATCATCTGTCTTCTTGGTAGGTCAGATGCCCTGTGAGTCTCTACCCCACTGGAGATCTTCCGGTGTCTATCTCCGGCTCCCATTTAACACACCCCCCCAGAAACAACTCCTTCCATTGGGGTTGTTCCTGAGCATTCAGTCTGTTGCTCTTCTTGTTCAAGGTTATCTTTAAGTTCTTGTAGCTTGCGGGCTGCAAGTCTCTCATGGATATCTGTCAGCCTCACTTGCTCCCTGAATGTCTTGAACTTTGGTGCCGGCAGTGCCTTGGTCAGGCTGTCTGCAAGCATCATTTCGCTTCGGACGTACTCGACGTCTATCTTCCCGTTGCGTTGAGCTTCCCTTAGCCAGTGATTGTGGATATCGATGTGCTTGAGCTTTGTTTGAAGTGTTTGGAGGTCTTTCCGCACCAACTTGATGGTCTGTTGGTTGTCATACCAGATCCGGAGAGTTGGACAGTCCAAGGATACGCCAATTTCTCTAAGGAGCCGTGAGACAAACATCACTTCCTTGGCTGCTTAGGCAAGGGATGACAGTTCTGCCTCTTTTATTGAGGTTGTCACTGTGTCCTGTTTGTTTGCTCTCCAGCCAATGATGCCTCTAAATAACTTCATGATATATGCTTGTGAGCTCTTTTGGTCAAGGCAGTTATCTGCAAACGATGCATTGCTCCATGTTTCCAGCAGATCTTCATCCCCCAACTGAAGAGCAAAAGACCTGGTACCCTTTAGGTACTCTAATAGGTGCTCTGCGGCAGCAATATATAAATTGTTTGGGTTAGTATTAAAGCATAAAAGCTGAGAGGCAGCAAAGGAGATATCGAGTCGTGTGATCACTGCTGCGTACAGGATTGATCTGATCATCTTTTGGTATCTGTTGATTGAGGCTGGCGAGGCAAGCTCGTCACTTGAGAGAAGTTCTTGAGGCTTTATGGGGATCTCTAGGCACTTCTTGTTGTGGTTGATATGGCTTGTAATCTTGTCGATATATGAGGCTTGAGACAGCCAGATGAGCTGCTGTTTTCGGTCCCTAATGATCTCTATCCCTAAGAACCACTGTAGTGGCTCTCCTCCTGTCAGATTATAGGTAATATTGAGCTTCTTTGTGACCGCCTTTATAGCGTTCTGATGGTGTTCTTTGAAGGCTATGACGATATCATCCACATAGAAGAAGATGATCATGTCATTCTTTATGAAGCAACAGGATTCGTGAGCAACTGATTTGAAGCTAAGATCTGTGAGAGTTTTAGTGAAATGCTTTTGTTATAGCAAAGGAGATTGCCGTAATCTGTATAGAGCCTTCTTTAGCAAGAGGACCTTTCCTTGTTCATAATGCCCTTGTGGCAATTTTATGAAGACTTCCTTTTCTAGGTCCGCGTTGACAAAGGCGTTGACGGCATCGTATTGAATGAGCTCAAGATTGAAGCGGGCTGCGATTGCCATGAGGGCTCTGAAAGATCTGCCTGCGAGAGTTGATGCGTATGTATCCTCATAGATGTTCTTATTCTACTGGTCACCGCGAACCACAAGGCGTGCTTTGTACTTGCTAAGGAAGCCATGCTTGTCAAACTTATATTTGTATACCCATATACAGTCCAGGATTTGGTGTCCATTTGCTGCTGACTTGTCAGTGATTATCTATGATCCCATTTCATTGTGGCTGCTAATGTGGTCAACCTCGGCTTGACACCACTCAGCCTTGTAGAGATGGTTCTTGACACCTTGCCAGTTCTTTGGCTCTGGTGGTAATGATCGTCGATGTATCTTCCCTACTTTTGCAGGTATTGAGACTGGGCCATGATGTGACGGAACGCTCACCATAACCACCATGCCACGGCTGTTCCTCCCAAAAGGATGCGAATATCAAGCGTGGCAGCTTGACATTCAATGGTGGTACATGTACTCATGTCCGGGCTTCAGGACTCACCACATGGGCTACCTATACCAGACCATGACACGTGTTGATTTCCTTGGTGTGATGGTCTCCCACCAGGGCGAGAGCCATAGGTTCTGTACTTATTGTACTTGGCTTTGCTCACTGGCCTGCCATCCATCAAACCAATAGGATTGGCAACGCGTCCAGCATTGAACGCTGCTTCCCAATTCCCGTGGCGATTTCGTATGGCCTAGGCGTCCCCAGTTAAAGGTAACGAGCGGGCATCTAACCCTTCTTCTGCTCGCCAGGAGCACAATGCTCTGACCTGGCCCTCCACAGGCTCTCTGATAGTAGCAGCCAGCAGTGCTACCACAGGCGGAGGAGTGGGTTCTGGGGTCAGGTATGGCTCAAACACGGCAGATGTATAGGGGTGATCAGTCCCTTTGCTATTATTTGTGTTGGCTTTGTCTTGGGTATCTTCTGTACCAATATCACTCAGGTTTATCTTATCTCTATCTATATGCTCTTGTATTAATCTGTTAAGATCTTCATCTTTCTAGTACACTGGAATGTCCTCTAGGATTTTTGATGGCACCTCGTATCTACTTAGAAATAATGTTAGTTGTTCCTCACTGATATGCAGGAGGTCGTTCTTGAGGTTGTTCAAGTCTCCTGAGAACATCTGGTCCTCGTCTGCTATCACATCACGCATAGCGTGGACCTTGCTGGTTAAAGGGTTCCAGACCAGATAGATATTGGTTGAGTTATATCCCACAAGATAGCCAACCCAGGCTTTCGGGTTCAGCTTCTTGAGGCGGTCCTTCTTCTCCTATGCGGCAGTAGTCATTGATTGATTGATTGATTGTATTTATTGTGGGTGCAGTCCCTCCATAGGGCAAACCACGCCTCCCAGAGCCATTGCATCGCAAGGTTGTAGAGGTGTCAGTCTAGATACATTCAGATCCGCGCACGAGCCTATCCTCGCTGTAGCGGTACCAACCTGAAGTAACCAGATGGTTTTAGTCAATACCCAAACACGATTCTGTCAGAAAAACCTCCTCTCCAGTGACTAAGCGACCCAGTGAACCTCAGTCCTCTGGTGTACACATCGTTCCAGTAGCCGTTCGATATATGTCGTATTGGTGGGTGAAGTAGGTGTTTGTTATCTGTTGGCGAGGGAAACCACAAGGGGAAAAACCTCGCAGGAGTGGGTGTTGTAGAAACAAGCTGTTTGGCTATCAGGCTCTGCAATAAGGGGCCTCTCCACTGTCGTGTGCTGATTGTCGACTCGCACAAGCCGGGTCAGAAGGGGGCCATAGCAGGATTCGAACCCACTTGTTATCGTCGCCCACCGCATAAACGAGAACACAACCAGGCGCATTTGACCATTGCGCCATACGGCCCGGCAGTAGTCATTGTTAATATTTTGCAGCCATATGCTCGTAGGTATGCATGCATTGGCCTGCAGTCGGAGGTAACTAAGCCGTCTCAAAATGACAGATATTAGAAGAACATCTCGTATAGGGTCTTCCAGTTGTGGTGCCAGGATGGTGTTCGGTTGTGGAGATACACTGCTGCAGTATAGATGTGACGCCAGAGATATGTTGGAAGCTTGGCTCCGCTGCGCATGGCTTACATGATTGGCTGTCTATTACCCCGCGTTTCCTACCCCAAATCACCGCATTCAAGACTAAAGAGACCGACCTTGTTATTAAAGACAGGAAGATCAAGGCCTCAGAGGCTGAACTGGAGCGGCTACAGCCAAAGAAGCGCCAAAAGATCCCTAATCCTAACAAAAAATTCAGAACAGTCACAGAGGTACTAAGTACGGGTGGTACCATCACCCCTGGTGCCTCTGCGGATGTACCAGAAGTTGTGGTTAATGATGACAAGGAAGAAGAAGAAGAAGAAGAAGACGAAGACTCGGCTGAAGAGGTCGCTTTGGAAGCCATACAGGAGCCTAGGCAGACCCGTTTAGGGCAATCCATTCGGGCGCCCACTAGATTTTCACGAATGAGCAGCTCCAGCGCTCTGGAATAATAATTTTGCTGGATTTCTCTGACCTGAATGACTTCTTTTACATGTGGGTGAATAAGGGGGTGCTTTGGTGGTGTTGGTGGGGTTTGGCTGTACGAGATGTGGGGGTGTACGAGATGGGGTGGGGGGTGGTAGATTGTTACGACCGATGGTAGGTATTAACCCGTCACGTGTCGAGATATTCCTCGCTAAAGATCAGGCTCAAACATCGATATCCTTGATGATCTGCTTCGACCAGTACTTTGCCATGAAATCTTCTCTTACCGGCCGCGACCTAAAAAACAAACCAGTTAGCCAGGAGCAATGAAAGAGGTTAAAGAAGGGAACCAAGTCAGTGACAGGGGCGAGGCAACATCCGGAACTACTCGAAAAACATACGAATAGTACCAGTTCCAATAGTTACTGGCGCCGCCGATTTTACAAGCCCGAACTTCCTTTGTGAGACCGCTGATGCATTCATCTGAGCCAAGGTGGCGCCCTCCAACACCTATGTGTCTGACTATAGGCGAAGGGGTTAGCTAACAATGCTTCACCATGTCAGGTCTCGAATCAGGCGCTACTAGGGAGGAGCCTGGTAGTAGCGCTCCGTGGACGGCAAAGGAACTACGCGAGCCCTGTTGGGGAAAGCAAAGCAAAGATGTAGGTAAGGACTCCCTTCGAATTCGCTTACCGATAAACTGTGGAATCCTAAGGTCCTCGTGGTTTTTTAGTCAGTAAGCTCCGTAGCGATCCTCGCTGTCGCCATAATCCCCGCTGAGCGTGCCGTCCCTACAGATATCTTGAACGAGCATTTTGACCGCTGCGTTAGTTGCTTTGTTATCTTTCCACGACTTCTGATTGGCAGTTTCTAGATACTTAGGGTAACACGTGGCAATTGCAACGCTTGCGAGAGCGGCTGCGGCGAAGAGTGACTTGAGCTGCATGGTGTTTGCTGTGTGAGAATTTATGGATGATGTTTTCAAGGTGGTAGATCAGTCAGACCAATGCGTACTTCCTTGGGATCTCATGGCTGAGGGATGTCTCCAATGTATAAGGTAGAGGCGAAGACAAAGATTCAACCCTCTTGGTCCAGGCTCAATGGGGCGCAAAACAAAGGCAGAAGAGAGATGCTGCTTCCGCGAGAAGACAGATACTGCCTCCGTGAGAAGAAAGACGCTGCTACCGCGAGAACCACTGCTACCGTGAGAGATGCTACCGCTTCTACGCAGTGCTGCCACTCTACCAGAAATGCTACCACCTCAAGAGATGCCGCCGCCGTGAGAAATGCTGCCGTGCTTCTGCAAAAGATGCTATTGCGGGTAACGGCAGATTTTAGCAGGAGCGGTAGTATGACAGCTGGCGAGTGGTAAAAGATAGCGAGGCTAGTGACTGCACAGGTTTGCAGGTGGACCGTGAAGGAGTCACGAGACAGACAAGCGAAAGCTGCCATTCTCAAGCTTCTGTCAAAGATGGGCAGACCAGTCAGGTGGCGCTTCTCGTTCTTCCATCCATCCATCAAGGTACTTGAATGGAGATGCCACTCCTGTAGGGCTGGTTATCAGAGACACTCACTCGTCACGAGCTGCGTGAATAAGAGGTGGTCTATGCGCAGCGCGCTGCAGTCGTGTATATACCTAAGGAATGCATCCTGTAACTGCACACCACATCCTTTGCAGCATTCCCCACGTCCGCGATCCTTTTGAAACTTTCACCACGCCGACCCGAGACCAATGTCCCAAACCATCGACACCGACCGGAAAGAACATCAAGAGCACCGTACCGCGCCTTCCTCCATCACCATGTCGTCGGCGCAGCAAGACCCTCAGAGCGCAAAGGTTGCGAGCCTTCCGTCAATCACATTTCTCCCTTGTCCCGATACCAACAACCATCCCGATTGGAATAAGGCTCTGAACTCCCACGTCACGGGCATATGGCTACTCTTCCTTAAGAACTCCACCAGCTCAACCTCAGCCCGAGGTTGGGTAATCGGACTCGTCACGGCAAGCGGTCAAGCCCTCCATATATACCCCAAGCAGACGCCCTACTGCTCGACCACCGCTATCATCTGCACTCCGGCCTGCGGCGAAGCGGACTCGGTTCCCAGCAAGAGCTTCACGAAGATGCTGGAAGCGTCCACCAAGCACTTCGCACGCGCGGCAATGCCGGGCGCGAAGGTGGGGTACCTCTTGCTCACGCTGCAGCGTGCTGGTATCATGAACTACGGACTGAGAGAGGGACGAGGTGAGTGACGACCAGGTTTCTACCTACCTTATAACGACTACCTAGGTACTTGTGACAGATGCTAATGATGGCTTCAGGCACCCGTTTCTGGCTCTGCGCCGCCATATTTGTTCTGCGACAGTTTATCAAGGAACCCAGGAGCTTCGACTTGTTCGGAGATTGCGTCATCGAGGAGATGAGCCTGTGTTCGACCGACGACGAACAGCAGAAGAAGCAGGAAACCCAGGAAAAACAGATCACATCTGATGAGATCAAGAAGGGGCAGGCTGTGGTGCACAAGTGGTCAAAGCAGGGTATTAAGGCGCTGAAGGAGTGCAACCAGAGAATGGAACGGTTCGTGGATCTGATGAGATTGGTATAGGTGGTACTGGTTTCCTTGCTTGACAGCATAAATGAAAAGGCTCAAGCCGGGAGACTAGACGGCCGTGGGTTTCGGTAGCAAGTGCGTCACCCTCACCGTCACATACGAAGTCGTCTCATCTCGCAGCTTCGTGGCATAGGGAAGCAGTTGTTAATGGAAAGCGCACTTTTCTAGCAGCGGTAATTCGTCTGTAGCCAAGGACGTTATGTCCGTTTAGCTGGAGAAATATCTAGCCTTGAGCCCTTCAATGCTGGAACTGCCCAAGTAGCTTCTAACACGATACCGGTGAAGCTCGTGAAACTGTTCGCTGAACGGAGGCCCCCATGATCCGGCCCGGTAAGTCCTTCATTGCCTACAGTATCTAGTGCGGGTGAAGCTCGCTGAAATCCATCCGACGACCAGAATGAGGCTAAAGAAGTATACAGGCTAGTCGCTCCCAAGCGGCCTTCCCATAGGACAGGCACGTAGGTCACGAACTCGAACCGGCCTTCTGCCGCCGCTGGCTGGCTCAGGTTCACATCAGCCATGGAACAGAGCGCCAGGCTCCCTACGAATATGAGTTCGCACAAAATCACACCTAGATCATCCGGTAGGTGGGCCAAGACTGTGTGGGTGTCGCAGTCGGGCGGCAGGTTGATGGTGAGGAGGGAGCATGGAGGCGACGCCACAATGTCTGTGGCCGCCGAGTCGGAGTAGAGTGCGCCGATGTTGTCGATGCGGTTCGTGGGCGTTGGGTTTTCGGTCTGGATCGGAGGTGGAAACGGTGCTTTCGTTCTCGCCTGAAGGGTGATTGGCAGTGGGGTCGTTCTCGAGTTCGATCTCGCAGTTCATGCTAGATTTCAAGTCGGAAACCATTTTGCTGTCGATCTTAGCATTGGTATGGGAGTCGGTCTGAAGTTTGTTGTCGGAGTCGACATCGGTATAGCGTAGGGACCGGCGAGGGGAGCGCGGCCCATAGTGGCCTAACGGGCGCCTGATCTGTCAGTCCGAAGTATGCTGCGGTCAGAACCCCCGAATGGGCCCCGGTATACCAGGTAAGGTGGCTTGTCTGTCTTATGCGTTAATCAACGCGAACGGATTTTTAAAGGTGACTTATTTACGTGTACGAACACCACAAGAGCGTGTGCGGTGCGCGGCGAGCGGGGTCTCCATGTTGTCAGTATCATTGAGGTTGTGATGGAGAAGTTGTTGGGATGATATGGTGGAAATTTGAAGTGGTGGCCGGGTGGTTGTGTGGTATCCTGGGCACCGGGTAGAGAGCATCAGTAGCACAGTGGTGAGCGTCGGTGATGGTTTTCGTTGGTGTTCTGGTGGGGGTCTTGCATCAAAGCCCAATTGAACTCGGTGTGCCAGTATTTCTGCTTGCTCTATATGTAGACCCTTACCGGCGCATGAATCGAGGGAAAGATTCGCACAAGTCACAGCGGCCAAGGAGCCAGGGTGACGAGGTTTAGGTATGCGCGTGAGGTGAGGCGAAGGGGAAGTGTTGCTCGCGCTTTGCGCATTATTCGTTTAATGCCGATTCTGGTAAGATCTTAATCTTTTATTTTCGTTTTTTATCGCAGCATTTTTTTACGTAAGTGAAAAGCTGCTTGTTATGATTTTAAAGGTACTGGCTGTTCCGTTAAAAAGCCACCTTTTTATACCTTTAAAGGAAAAAAAAAATTACGATCTAAAGGTTTTAACTGTTTGTGTTGGAACAGGCTTGAACGATCAATCATAATACTCGAGTATGGGGTCAAGGTCATGATGTTGCTGATGGTTGGATTGGGAGGTCTAGCTGGACCTGAAGGTCTGGCTAAGTGACCTCGCAATCCGGTATCTAATCACTTATCTAATCATACATGTGGGTCCTGGTATAGGTGGTTTGCAGGCTGGAATCGCATGGATCCAACACAGGATATTCTTTCTTTTATGATTGCGATTCCATCAAACCATCCATCCAGGTAATCTCAACATTGAACCCAGCCTTCAACTCGAACCGTTGTCTTGTTATCAGAAACAAGACCATGAAGGGCTTTATTTGGAGATGACTTGGTCATCGAGTCAGCAGGGTTGTCTTCACCATGGATCCATCGGATTTCTGTGATCTCATGATTCTCGTATGACTGCCGGAGCGCCATGACGTCGATCATCAGACGCTTCTCATTGGTAGTGCCGAGCTTGACAAGGCACTGGTATAACGAGTACGAGTCTGTGCAGAGGATCAGGGGGATCATAGGTACTTCAAGGCGTTGGCAGATAGTTGCCAGTGTACGGTGGATCATGTATCCGTAATCATAGCCAGCAACCATGCCATATACTTCAGAAGCTAGAACGCTCCGTGTGACTCTCTTGCATTTGGTAGAGGACCAATGAACAATGTTTCCGGTCAGATCAAATGTGAATGTCTCACCATTACTAGATGATTCACTCCCGAGGATAATGACAAATCCGATCTGTGATGATAGGTCCTTGTTATTGGCGAATGATCCATCAATGAACACAAAGAGTTTAACAGTAGACAGATCAATCGTCACGAATCGAAGTCCACGTGACTTATTGTCTAGTTGCCACTGAATGCGTTTATTTAGCATCTCGACGTCCTTGTCAGAGGGTTCTTGGGCTTGGGCTGCGATAGAATAGTCGAATGCGGCTTCTGGTTGACAGATAGAGGCAATGTAGGCGCCTCTTGCTCGTTGCTCAACGAATCTCTGCTTGTAGTCCTTGTCACTCATGTCAATCAGGACGAGCTTGTCAGCTTGTCCTTTTTGAGTCGCTGTCATGCTCTCAGTCTGAAATTCTAGACGGCATCCGTTAAAATCGCCAGAAGAACCAGTATCAAACTGGGTTCGTGGCTTCGTCTTGTAGCCCGCTTTCCTCGTTTTGTCTTCTTCCTTCTCTAAGAAGCCGGTAGTGCCAATAACAAAGGTGTCGTCAGTTTGAAGGGCTGCGATAGCAAAGTCATTGCCTTTCTTTGTAATGAATAAACAAGGGTCGTATACGGATGTCTCCATCTCTAGTCTTTCCTTGTGGTGGGCGGAGTATGTGTCATATTAATGATTCCCAGCTTCTGCGATTCCGTATAGGGGTTTGTTGACGCGAAGAATCGTACCCTCTGGATACTTCTTCTTTAGTTCAATGGGCAGCTTGCATAGGACAAGACGATTCATAGGGTGTCGTGACTGCGTATAGGCCATAGTGATGTCTCGAGAGGCAGCGAGGCATCCTAGCCGTCGTAAAGACGGTGTCAGGGCCATTGCCAGTCGTTGTCTGCATCGCATGATCGTCGGAGCTTGGGTCATGATATCGTGCTTTTCATGATCGTTATATCCTTGAACGACGAGTCTGCTCTTCTCGTAAGGGCGGTCATTGACGCCTTTAACAGTGCGGACGAGACGAGAGTTAAACAGTTGGGTATCGCTGTGAATCTTGCTGTCGAACAGAATGGGGACAAGCACTTCATCGGCAAATAGAGACTCAATCTCAAGGACATCGGATTGCTCGAAGGGTGCTCCAGGGGCTGTGATCTTGCCTTCAGTGCGCAGTTTCAGGGCGAGAGCGTGGTCAGCACGCTCCTTGTGCGAGAGGAAAATGCCATATTCATCTTGCTGGACAAAGGAGCCAGCGAAGTTCTCTTCTTCGTTTGTAGTCGTAGTGGCCATGTGTACCACGTGTATTTTTCTGGGTCGGCCTCGCGGTCGCTTCGTGCTTTGGATGGGTATAGGGAGCTTTGGAGGGCGGCCGCGACGACGGGGGAGTGTCGGTTCAGGATATTCGAACGGAACGGGGGTATCGTGGTTGTCGACCTTGTCAGTATCGAGAATCGCGTCAGGGTGACGGTTGTACGGCTTGACGTGCGTGCGGTTAAATAGGGTTGGTCCGTTGACCATCTCAACGGTCACTTCTCGATCTGTTACCGATAGAACCTTATGCGGGCCTTGATATTTGTCTTTTTCGCGATAGACAAAGACCTCACTGCCGATGGGAAGAGAGAGAGGCAGTGTTGGGGTTGTATCAGGGCCGTTCCTTGTGTTTAGAGCACTTTGAACGTTGCGCTTGGCTCGAAGCTTACGTAGTTTGGTCATTGCTTTGGCCTGGGCCTGGGCACGTTGAAGTTGCGATTGTGTCGGGGGTGAATCCATTGTAACGCGTGGATAGGCTCCAAAGACCAAGAGTGTTGGTACAAGGCCATCAGGACCGGCGGTATCGTTCACGGCTTTTATTGCCATCTGCAGGGCAGCTTCTCGAGAGATCCCGGATGATTCGGCTCGGATGATCTCGTAAGAGCGTCAAATGGGGGTATGATACCGTTCAACCTTGCCAATCGACCAATGAGCTTCGACGGGAATCTGATGACAGGTGATTCCAAGCAATCGGGCTTCAGCTCGGAATTCTGTGGCTGCAAAGTTGGTACCAGCGTCGTGCGTTAGGACATCTGGAGGGCCAAGATAGGTGTCAATCCAACATCGTTTCAGTGCTTCCCAGGTCTCCTTGGCAGACAGGTTAGGGAGGAATTGGGCTGCTTGGAACGCTGTGGCGGCGTCAACGCAGTGAAGGACGGGCTTGCTATCCAAGTACATGACGTCAACAATGACTTCGTAGTTGAAATCAATATCCTTCTTGATGGAAAACTTGAACCGCTGTGGTGACGGGCCTTTGATCTGGCAATGATGGCAAAACTTGTTGATCATTGCAATGGCATCTCGATCAGCTTTGTTGCCAGATTTCTCCAGGAGCTTGTAAAGCTTGCCGACGGAAGGGTGTCCAAATCGGGTATGAACGCGTCGTAGTTCAGCTTCTGTCAGGAACACACCGGTTGATACGGTTGTCATTGCTGAGGGGAAGAACCAGGGGTGGCCCCATTTACGGGTGATCGGGATGGACTTGCCATCTCGCAGTCGGATCATCCTATTGGTAATATTGTCAAACATTACGCCAAGCTTGTCGAAGTCTTTCAGGCAGAGGAGGAAGGGAGTTTGGGTGTCAACGACGTGAAACGTTACGTCTCTAATGGGGGTGTCAACATGGATCGTGCCGAGGGAATTTAAAGGCTGTCCTCTACCGAATTTAACCGTAGCTTCTCCAACGCGTGATTTATCGAGTAAAACTGAGGGTAGCTCGCGCTATAAGGCTAGGAACTGACCCTTGCCGGCTGTTGAAACAGAAGCAGCGCCAGAATCAGGTATAATTCCTTGGAATATAGAACTGGCGTATCTATCCAGTGTGAAACTGTCAGACTCGAATCCAACTTGCAAGTTGTCTGTGGCAGTGATTGAATGTTGGAATGCTCGGTCGCTAAGTAAGGTGGCTATGAGATATTGGACAGCATCGTCACTGCTGTCGCTTCTGGAATCCATGACATGTTGGTCATGCGTATCATCGGGGTCTGAGTCAAGATCTGGCTCGTAATCGGCCAGGAAATGGATGTAGGCAGGGCCTGTGGTCGGTCGTCCACAGAATTGTTGATCGTGTCGCCATTTCTCTTTGGATTTCCGCTGTTCCTCTGGAGAATGCTTCCACGATCGACAGTCAGGGTCACTACAGATGTAACAACGTCTGGTAACGTTGCCATCTCGTTTACCGTATTGCTTGTCTTTCCGCCGGTGAAACTTGCGATCAGTAAAGTACTGATTGGTAGTATGCTGGGCGCTGTCAGCTGAGTCTTCAGAGGTCTGGAGTGATTGTCGGAGGTTTGAAACAAGAGCTTCAAACGTGTGTGAAAGAGTGAATAAGGCGTAGTTGAATTCTTTGATACCACGGCAGGCGCGTTCCACAGCTGCAATCAGCTGTGTCTCGCCTAGGTACGAAGGGCCAAGGGCACGTTGACAGAGTTGCAGTTTGCTAAGGAGTGCCTTAAGGATCTCCATGCCGGTCTTGCCAGCGTTCTCAGGTCGTGCCTTCATGTTGATATAGGTGATTGCCGACCAATCGCGATGATATTGAGTCTTGTTGACTTCCGTGTCAAAATGTGCCTTGAGACGGTTGTACATGTCTGAGAACATCGAGTGACGGCTGATATGGTGCATGAAGTATTCTTGAGCTGTGCCAGTGAGGACTTGGGGGAATACTGCGTGGAACTGGCCAGGTTTGATGCCAATGGTAGAACATGTGTTTAGGAAGTAGCGTATCTTGTCATCCAGAATATCGTAGGGTTGTCCTAAATAGCAGTT